CTCCTCTGCCTACTCGCCACTCACTCTCAGCTCTGCCTTCGGATGAGTCCGTAGAGTCGAGTGGTCCGTATGCGGAGCTTGTTGGCTGCCTCATGTACCTGATGACCTGCACACGACCTGACCTTGCATACCCTCTGAGCATTCTTGCACGCTATGTTGCTCCTGGGAGACACAGACCGGAGCACATGGCTGCAGCGAAGAGGGTATTGCGCTACCTGTGCAGTACGTCAGGCATGGGGCTAGTGCTTGGAGGGCGGAGTCCAGTGGTCCTTACCGGCCACGCGGACGCGTCTTGGGCTGACGACCAGGCTACGCAGCGGTCGTCACAGGGTTACACCTTCAGCCTTGGTTCCGGCTCTGTCTCGTGGCGGTCTACTCGCTCGTCTTCGGTTCTCGGCTCCAGTTGTGAGGCTGAGATCTACGCCGGGGCCATGGCTGCACAGGAGCTTCGCTGGCTCACCTACCTGCTGACTGACCTTGGAGAGCCGCCTCGTTCTCCTCCAGTGCTGTACGTAGACAACAAGGCTATGCTGGCCTTGTGTCGAGAGCAGCGCTTGGAGCACAGAACGAAGCACATTGCTCTCCGCTACTTCCTTGCTCGTGAGCTGCAGCAGCGTGGTCAGTTGCGACTTGCGTACGTGGCCTCTGAGGCCAACACTGCTGATGTGTTCACCAAGGCACTTGCGCCTTGTGACCATCAGCGCTTCTGCACCCAGCTGGGTCTTGTGCCTGTCTTGCCTCACTTGCTCTCCTCTTGACTTCACTTGTACTGTGACATATATCTATATACCTGCTCTTGCTTGTCTAGCTTTATATATATGTCTGTACTCTTGCTTGTGAACTGGCCTTTGGCCTCACTCTTGTGCTCGGACTGTGTGGTGACTTTGTGATCCACCCTGAGCTTTGCTTTGTCTTGCTTGACTGGTCTTGTGACCCCTTGTTCTCCCCCACTTTGCCTATGGGGGTGTGTCAGAACATATCTATAGCTTATACTGCTGTGTAGGCTGTAGTGGGGTATCCCATAGGGGGTACAACCCAGTTAGGGTTTCACATTTGTACTGCTTTCATTCATAGTCCACTCATTCCTGTTTTCCTACTATCACAGCCGGCTTACCACATCGGCCGTTCACTCCTCATCACAACCCGAGCGCACCCGCGTACGCACCACTCGAAAAGGTGTATAGCGACATCCTGTACAATCGGGAACCAGGACAAGTAATATACAACTACACAATCACCTTCATCGACGCCGCCACCCGTTACGTTTGGCATCTTAACCTACCCAGCCGCGACATGGTCCTCGAAGCATTCGCTGCTTGGCTACCAGTAGCAGAAAGAGAGTCGGGCGTAAAGCTGAAAAGCTTCCAGTCTGACGGAGGAGGAGAATACACCTCTCAGCGATTCAAGCAGTACCTGGCGGAAAAGGGAATCAAGCAGCTCCTCTCTCTTCCCTACGCCCATCAGCAGCAAGGTGTGGCAGAAAGAATGAACAGGACTCTGCAGAACAGCATGCGCAAACTGTTGCGTGGCATGCGGCTACCCAACCACCAGTGGCCTGACGCGATGGACCACGCTGTCATGCTGCACAACTTGCTCTCATCTTCATCACTACCGAACAACGCATCACCGCATCTGCTGTGGACAGGAAAACAGGGCAGCACAAAAATGTTACGAGTGTTCGGATGCATGGTACAGTACCGACCCCTAGCAGCACGAGCGGGCCGATTTTTACAACGCGCACAGTGGGGACTACACCTCGGCATCGAAAAGAACTACAACGCGTGGAAAATCTTTGACGTCCACTCCAAGGAAACAGTAGCAGCACGCGACGTCATTTTCTACGAACGACTCACGCTCCAGACATACCTTGCCAACCTGCAAGAGGACCAAGATCCCACAGGTGGTTTTCGTGGTGACTGAGCCTTTGCCTCGGCAGCAGACGAAGCTGACTGGGACGAGCAGAATGTGGCCAACGCATCTGAAGAAGCTGGACCCCTTCCGTTCTACTCCGTCGACTTCCCCATGGACGAAGATAACCCTCGCGAAAGTGTCAACGCCGAAACCTTCTACTACTTCGCCGACAACGGTTACGTAACACCTGCGACAGTCAACACCAACGAAGCAGAATGAGTAGGACCGAATTTCATACCTGATCCAGAAGCGGGAGATGAGGGAGCTTATCCCGAGGATGCAACTCTTCCCCGCTACTCACAGACCGGACTGCAGATTCTCGGACTCGTCACCGCAGTCCACGGCAACACTCTCCCTAAGGAGCCTGCGACGGTTCAGCAAGCTCTGGGGGGGGGAACACAGGGAAAAATGGCGTGAAGCCATGGACAGAGAGTTAAAGGCGCTGGAGGAACGGAACACCTGGAAAGTTGTCCCCATCAGCGTGGCAAGGAACAAGACCATTCTCACTGGGAAATGGGTCTTCCGCGTTAAAACAAAAGCAGACGGCACAATTGAGAAGTTCAAAGCACGCTGGGTTGTGCGTGGATTCGATCAGGAGCACGGACGGGACTTCACCGAGTCATTCGCCCCGGTTAGCCGACATACCTCACTTCGAATCCTCCTCGCGATCGCCGCCATGAAGAAAAGGAAGCTACGGCAAATCGATGTCGCCAACGCGTTCCTCTACGCACCTGTCGACGCGGAAATCTTCGTCGAGCTCCCACACGGTACCAACGGGGAACCTAACCAAGTCTGTCAACTGCTGAAATCACTTAACGGGATCAAGCAAGCTCCGCGGCTATGGCAACAGTACCTACACGCTCGCCTCATTCGCATCGGATTCCGCCAACTACCTCACGACCAAGGAATGTACCGACTCACTAAAGACACCGACTACATTCTGCTGATCCTCTACGTAGACGACCTACTCTACATCGGCTCCACTGACGACATCACCACCTGGTTCGAAGGGGAGCTACAGAGGGACCTCACACTCACGGTCTCCTCTACCGTCACACAGTACCTCGGCTTGAACATTCGGGAAGAAGAAGGCGCGATCTACCTCAACGCCGCTAAGTACGCCAACACCATCGCCGAACGCTTCGCGCTCAAACCTACCACCATCTCTACGCCCTACCGCTACGCGACAGAAAACCACAAGGAAGGATCCTCTCTACTCAAATCCGCCGGGATACGCGACTACCAGAGAAAGCTAGGATGCCGTCTCTTCGCAGCTGTCACCTGCCGCCCCGACCTCTCATACTCCGCAAGCCAGCTCGCCACCTACCTCAAGAAGCCTGAAGCAGAACACCTGGCGGAGCCCGACCGCGCTCTCCACTACTTCGTCAGTACCTCAACGATCGGCCTAACTTACTACAAGAACACAACTACACCGACTAAATTAATCGGCTACGTCGACGCTGATCACGCTGGCGACTCCGACAACAGGCGCTCCCGCACCGGCTACATCTACCGCCTCGATCCTATCGGACCGATCTCCTGGCAATCGAGCAAGCAGGAATTAATTGCTCTCTCGTCAGCTGAAGCAGAATATATTGCACTCTGCTCAGCCATCAAGGAAGGACTCTATCTTCGCGAGCTGCTGGAAGAAGCAAAGTTAGTCGAGCTACCCTACTTCACTCTATTCTGCGACAACCAATCTGCAATTCGCATCGCCAACAAAAATGGATTCGCGAACAGAACGAAGCATATCTCTCTGCGATATTTCTTCGTGAAAGACGAGATTGAGAAGGGGAGACTTGAACTATCCTACTGTCCCACGTCCGAGATGGCAGTTGACTACTTGACCAAGAAGCTCGGAAAACAGAAGTTCGAGTACTGCATGCTGCTGACTGGACAAAGCCACGTCACCAGCAGCGACACTCCAGAAGCAAAGGGGAGTGTTGGGAACAAACAATCTTACGCGCCTCTGTCGTGTCGAAACACCAAGGCACAAGCGAAGCAGAGCATATCGAGGCACCAGCGAGTCAACCCTCGGAAGTTGAAGTAACCGCTGGAGGTTACGCGAAAGTCAAAGGTTAGCGACCTTTGACTTGACAAATGCAGCGCGACAGCAAGGACACACAACTGACTCGACATTGAGCAGTTGCCCGAGTCGCACTGTATCGAACCGCAACAGTAAAACAGGTTAATTATATCTCTTCGCATTCTTTGTACTCTTATATAAACCTTTGTACTTGCTTGTTTTAATCAACTTACTTTGCCCTCACATACCAGCGCAAGGTGGTTCAAGGACTTCATTTAAACGCTTCCGCTACTACATCACTCTATCCAGAGTTTAACCCTACTAAAGATCCCAAGGGGCACTCAGCCCAACATTGAGGACGGGGGGGGGGGGGGGGTGGGTAGTGTAAGGAATTTTCTCGACATTCCTTAGCACGCCCTGCAACATCGCGTACAGCAGCAGCCGTTGTTCGCCCGTTACTGCTGACGGGGCTTCGCCGACTTTGCGCACTCTGTTTCACGAAACCTCGCACTGCTGGCCCGGCCGTATCGCCCTACGCTTCGGGACTAGCCCGAACCTCACTGCCAGCATAGCACTAGCTAGCTCGCACACATCGCGTTACCGTTTGCATGTTTCGCGTATAAATGTTCGCTCATGCCTTAGCTCACATTTTGTACTCGTTTGACCCTTAGTATAATCCTCGCTACCTCGATTCATTGCACCCGTAACACTAGCACTCAATCACTGTGACCGGCACACAATACACTAACATAGTCGAAGGTTTTAGCTAAACATGGATAATCCTCCAACCCAATCAACTGCAGCAATGGCTGAACATATTTGTCAAGTGGGTGTATTCAATCCCAGACAGCCCTATTAGACATATCTGCAGTGGATACAAACAATCACCACCTGCCTGCCCTAAGCTTCCCTAAAAGCCATCCCCTGTTTCACTCCTAAGTGGGTGTTACTACCCCCCAACACTACAGCACCAGCAGCCTCCCCGATTCATCGTAAGCGAGCTAGCACTCGCTTCACCTGATCATGCCTACTCACATACCACGTGGAGGACATGCGGACATCTTCAATGGGTGTAATCCCCTCCGGACAGCCCTAGCAGCCTCCCCGTTTCATCATACGAAGCAAGCACCCGCTTCACCTCATGCCTGCTCACATGCCACGTGGCAGACATGCTAAAAGGCATTCCCACTACCAGCTCAAGACTCTTCGGAACACACAGAACTACACCCAGGGGAATCGCCACGAGCATATACTCCACAGATTCATCGCCTGCAATTTTCCCGCAGTAACCATTCCACAGGGAAATTGATTCGGAGGCTACCAGGCTGGGAGTTATCTTCTGTTCGATTCCTGCGATTTGATCTGTGGAGATGAAAGCAGGGAACTCTTTAGGGAGGACGTCTGGGACAGGCGAGGGCCAAGCCTTGCTCTTCCAAGTTGGTTCGGGCCGATCCTTGGAATCGGCAAGGTCTTCGACGATCAAAGATGCCAGGAAGGTTCCCTTGGAATCGAATCCAAAAGGAACGCTCAGTTGAGCCTCTGGGACTGGAGTGCATGTGTGGGGTGGGGAGCGATACAGGTGAAAGTGTGAGGAGTCACGTTGGTTCAGGCCGATCCTTGGAGTTTGCAAGATCTTCGACGATCATAGCCGCCAGGAAAGTTCCCTTGGAATCGAATCCAGAAGGGATGCTCAGTTTAGCCTCTGGGCCTGGAGTGTGTGTGCGTGGGGGAAGTGGTATTGGTGAATGTATGAGGAGTTGGAGTATTTTATATTACTTAAATAAGATAAATTAATGGGAAGAGCTAGATACCACAGGGTGCAGAAGAAAGTGGTGTGGGTATGCAAAGTGGTGAAAGATGTGAAGGGAGAAAAATGCGAGGATGCTCAGTCCTCAAAATAGCCTCGGGGTCTTTAGTGTGGGGAGCATTGTGGTTGGAAGTGGTGGGAGTCAGTGGTCAGTGCTGCTAAAGGGTGTAAGTGAGAGTGGTGCAGCGGACATGCCTAACTTTGAGGTGTTTCAAAACCCAGTGGTCGGTGATGCTGGTCAAGGAAAGATGAGCAGGTATGGCTGGTTGTGAAAGTGGCGTGTGGACATGACACACCATCGCTGAAAAATACTCCTGCAAGGCCCCTTCGAGGTGCTTCAGAAGTGTTGATGTAGCTTTGTTAGTATCATCATACCACATGCCATGCCTACCATACCATACAGGACCCGACCATACCCTTGCTGATAAACGCTTCCAGGTAAAGCCCCTCCTGCGGCCCTTTGAACTGCTGCTGCACCCACGCGCCCTCGCCCTTGGGATTGACGCACAGCACTCGGTGAGAAGGGCGGGCAGGGTGCATGATGCCGTCGGACAGGCTGTGATCCTTGCGGGTAATTTCCCAAGTTACCCCTGACAAGGGAGTCATGGTTAAATCTCCCTTCTCCTCGTACCAGTCGTTCTGCCACAACAGAACGGTGAGAGAGGGGAATAGGATGCATGATGGAATGGCATGAATGAAGGATGGCTCACCAAGCATCACACATGACCCATGACTCACTCAGCAACACTCAACTGAGCATCACTCACCACGTGGTCAAAAGCGGACTTCTCCGCATCCTTGAATTGAAACGAACGGACGGATTTGAACGATTTCTGCAGCGCGTCGCTGTCCACTGGCTTCCAGATCTTCCACTCGCCGCGCCAGTTGCGGATGTGCGGCGCGTGCCACTCCCAGTGCTCCTCAGCCGTCAGCTGCCGCTCGCTCTTGACGGCCGCCGGCTGGCCCTTGACAGCCGGCTGGCGCTTGACGTCAGTATGGTCGGCGCTGGACCGCACCATGGTTCGTTTTGACGGCGGAAACACGAAGCTCTTGCGAGTAAGCGCTTGGGAGTTACGATTAACGGTTGACTTGAAGTGGAAAAATGCTGGATTCGTGGAGATACAAGCAGCCATGTGCCAGATGAGCGTAGGGGTAACACCGGATTGAAGGAAGTTTACGAAAGGAAGAAGACTCTCCGTGTGAATAAGGACTTCGACGGAATCACAATGGCCTGAATGCACACACACCGTGGCGAGCGGGCAGTGAAACCCCTGATTTGACAGGCGAGTAGCGCGAGGTAGCTGCCGTTCAAATAGCGGATACCTCGGCCGTCTGGACTAATGAACTGATGCCACGTGTGGTGTAACATCACAAGAACGTCGTTGATTTCCATGTCGTTGTCCACCAGCGACTGTTTTGATCTGAGTCATCCACCTCGGCTTCCAGCTTGGCACGAGGCTTCGACGACCGTGAGAGCGGTGAGAGGCAAGCCGCAGGCAGGCGGAGCAAATGACGGACTCGTCACGCGACCAAGGGTCTGAGTCAGCATAGCTATTGAGCGCGAACGCCACTACCTCCAACGTCAAATGAATGCAGCACTTGTCGGGTAGCGTGCTCTAAAAGCAATGTCTTCAGCTGACCCCTGTTAGAGCGCTCGATATTCTCTAGGACTAATTCTTATGGCGAATGCAGACTTTGAGTGACAGCTGTGACTAAAGGTGGCTGAGAAAAAATAGCCGTTGGAAAGTCCGCTCCAACAGGGAAATAATTGCTGGGGCTTTTCGCATCAAAATTCTCGAGGTGCGTTACGAAAATAGATTTTCTGCGAGAGTTCGCGCAGATAGGCGAAACGGATTTGCGAAAAGAGGGCGAACCAATACACGTTGATGGATGGAAGAAAATGTCGCAAACGCGTCAGGGTTTGAGAAAGAATAGCATTGCGTTGCGATAAATGATGACAGCAGGGACGCTTCGTCATCATTCCACCCAACCTCGCAACGCACGATGAAAAATAGGCGATTGGATACCTGTCCAGTTATCAAGGAGGATCTCATTAGTACTACACACTTTGGACCAGGCTGGATAGGCACTACTGCAATGGGTTCATGCTTTCGAGCCATGGGATTCATCCATCGTCGGAATTACCGAAGCCAGCTCGAAATTTCGTTGCTCTTCCACGTGGCACGTCCGAACAGTCTCATCGTCATCCGCCCGACGCGCCTCGCGGAAAGACGCGACGCTTGCATCCAGCATGGGTCTAGGCTTGGCAGAGGTCTTCCCTGCCAAAAGAAAACTCCATTTTCGGCCGGAGTAGAAGGAAAGTAGCCTCGCGACGAGTCGAAGACCCCTTCCTCGGACACCACCAATGCTGCGAGATGACGTCACCGCGTCAACTCGGAAATTAAAAGAATCTAGATCTCTCGCACCGCGACTTCCGAAGAAATGGCTCCTATCTAGCTCGTCTGCCAGTCACCTCCGTCGCACATTGACCGTGACTTGACGCTGCTCATCAAACAATTTGTCAGGCTATGGCGTCCCTTCTCTCGTCAAACCCTCCATATTCGCCAATCGCCACGGCTACACGAAAGCAGCAGCAGAACCAACCTAACCAGCACTGTTATTGCTTTCCATCGTGCCGCCAGTCCCAGCCCATCATCCACTCTCCTGCGTGGAGCCGTCATCCTCGTCAGCACCCGCAACCTCCTAGGTTCCTCACCAGCATCGCAGCACCTTTTTTTGAGACGTCTCAGAAATCGTCTCCTGCGCGGAGCCGTCATCCTCGTTGGCACCCGCAATCTCCCAGGTTCCTCACCAACGTTGCAACACGCCATAGCAGCATGATTCCTCCTCGCGTTTCACCAGCCTCAATAAGAAACACCCCTTCCGTCAGCCCGACCCCTGTTGCTCATTCCGCAAGAGACAATCATCCCATGCTGACCTGTCGTGCTGCCACGTCAGCATCGCAGTCCCCTCCTTCGGGTTCGCTCCCAGACCCCTTCCGAGGCAGGCTTCTAGGGCCACCTCCTGCGGACCAGCACTGGTGGGACGGGCTGCTCTTTGCCGGGCCTCTTGTGGTTCGGACCGGGCCTGAGCAGGCGGCTCGGGTGGGCGGCAAGGCATGGCGGATGTACTACCATGGGAGGGACACAGAGGAGTGGGGCATGGGGGTGGGTGCGCAGCCAGGCACTCCGTTTGGGCGAGTGGGCTTGGCTGTCAGCAGCGATGGGATCACGTGGGAGAGGTGAGAGAGGAATGGTGGATAAACAATCATGGGAGGGAGGCGCTCGGAGGAGTAAGGCAAGCGGGTGTCTGCGCAGCCAGGGACTTTGTTCGGGCGAGTGGGCATGGCTGTCAGCAGCGATGGGGTCACGTGGGAGAGGTGAGGGTGTGGTTATAGGAGGGGCAAGACAAGGTGGATGCACCATCAAGGGAGGGAGGGACATCGAAGAGTGGGGCATGGGGGTGTGCGTGCAGCCAGGCACCCCATTTGGGCGAGTGGACTCGGCCGTTAGCAATCAAACTCCCATCCGACTCAACAATCGCACCTCATCAGTCTCCACCAATGGTCGAAGAGTCCTGCCCTGGCCGTTGATGATTTGTGGCGTTCCCCATAACTGGAAAAGCCATGCGCTGCACTGCATCCTTGATTCTGCAGGGCGGTTTTGACAATCTGCAATAATATGTCAATGACTCTGGTTTCGCTACTACTCTCTCCAATCCAGGTACCCTGGACCTTTACCCGGAGGAGCTGTTTTTGACCCCTCAGACGACCCGTCAGCGTTTGACAGTGTGCATGTGGGGTGCAGTGACGTGCTACTCCTACCTGATGGCACGTGGCTCTTGCTCTACTACGCAGGTGGGCGCATGTGCGTATGTGTGCTTATGATGAAGCAGGTGGCTTGTTATTCAATTCAACTTGAAGCTCTCACCAGATGATCCCTCAGCTCAGCGTTAGGCAGTGTGCATGTGGGGTGCAGTGGCGTGCATATGGGGTGCAGTGGCGTGCATGTGGGGTGCAGTGGCGTGCATGTGGGGTGCAGTGGCGTGCATGTGGGGTGCAGTGGCGTGCATGTGGGGTGCAGTGGCGTGCATGTGGGGTGCAGTGGCGTGCATGTGGGGTGCAGTGGCGTGCATGTGGGGTGCAGTGGCGTGCATGTGGGGTGCAGTGGCGTGCATGTGGGGTGCAGTGGCGTGCATGTGGGGTGCAGTGGCGTGCATGTGGGGTGCAGTGGCGTGCATGTGGGGTGCAGTGGCGTGCATGTGGGGTGCAGTGGCGTGCATGTGGGGTGCAGTGGCGTGCATGTGGGGTGCAGTGGCGTGCATGTGGGGTGCAGTGGCGTGCATATGGGGTGCAGTGGTGTGCATGTGGGGTGCAGTGGCGTGCATGTGGGGTGCAGTGGTGTGCTGCTGCTGCCTGATGGCATGTGGCGCATGCTCTACTGCTCTACTGTGCAGCTTCGTGCTTGGTGTGTGCTTGTTATGAACAAGGTGTGACTATGTGAAGCATTTGTGTGACCATATGAAGCATGCGTGCTCTACTGTACATTTGTGACTATTCACGACCTGTGGATCACATTCCTAGACCATATAACTATACCTCCTACCCACTCCCTAACCTCCTCTCTTTTTTTTTCTTTTTTTTTTTTTGACGTCCCCTTTAGATTAATCTTACGAGTTACTCCCCTTTCCACTTGTTTACCCACAGGTGGTTTAGACCCTGGTCGCTTCCCCGCCTGGCCAGCTGGCAAGACGGCACTGGGAGCGCGCATGCGATCTGGCGTCGCCACGTCAGCGGACGGGGTGACGTGGCAGCGAGCAAAGGCTCCTTTCCTGGACGTGGGTGACGTGGACAGCTGGGATGAGCTGGCAGTTTCCTGGCCACGTGTGACTGTGCAGTCCTCATGGCAGAGCAAGACTGGAGGTTCCATTGGAGTACCTCACAACGGGTCTAAGTGGGAAGGCAGGACAAGTGAGGGAGGAGAGGAAGGAGGAGAGGGAGGAGGAGGGGGAGTGCAAACGGAGAGGGTAGAGGATGCGGAAGGAGCGACAGCCAAAGACGCCGTCCTGTCATCGTTTGCTGACATGGCGGATGCGGACTGGCTGCTGACATACCAATCTGTGGGCGACCCACACGCCCCTGGCCATGCCCATGTATGGGAGGACGGGGAGGTGGACCGAGTACCAGACTCCCTCCCACAGTACTGCTACACCATTGGCTCAGCTGCCTTTGATCCGAGCAAAAAGACATGGTAAGGGTTGGGACATACTGCTCCATCTCAAATGCCTTCTATTTGTGGGAGGGCTTTCCGCTGGCCATGCCCACGTGGGGGAGGACGGGGAGGTGGACCGAGTACCAGAGTCCCTCCCTCAGTACTGCTACACCATTGGCTCAGCTGCCTTTGATCCACACACAAAGAAATGGGTAATTACCATGTTTCAATCACCGAGGTACTTGCTTCCAGCCATACCCCTGCCATGCCTTGGCAAGCTCTGACCATTCCCTGACCATGCCATGCCGTGACCATGCCATGCCGTGACCATGCCATGCCGTGACCATGCCATGCCGTGACCATGCCAGGACTAAGAAGGGCTCCTGTATCCGAGAGATGCTACCGACGGCCCTCCGGCTTCTGGAGCATCCATGGCAGCAGGCCCGGAGGGTCTCAACGGGTTTGGCACAGGGGTTTGGCACCATCAGTGTCGACCAAGCAGCTCTCCGTGATCATGCCATACCATGACCATGCCAGGACTAAGAAGGGCTGTATCCGCAGAGAGCCCTTGGGAGCATGGGACGAGGCAGGGGGCAACCGATGCAGTCTTATGCACTCTCCATTCTCTCCCTCCCCTCTCGTCCTACCTGCCAGGACTAAGAAGGGAGGGTTCCTGTATCCGCAGAGGGCCCTTGGGGGTATGGGACGAGGCAGGGGGCAACCGACGCCATGTGCTGCTCTTTCCACTCTTCCCCTTTCCCTCCTTCCCATGTGCCAGGACTAAGAAGGGTTCATGCATCCGCAGAGGCTCCATGGGGGCATGGGACGAGGCAGGGGCCAACAGGCGCCATGTGGTGCCCTTGGCTGCTTTTGGCCCAAAGGCCGTTCAGAAATGGGAGGAGCTGAAAGGACAGAAGGAGCACAGGGAGCAGCAGGAGAAGAAGGAGCAGCAGGGGGGGCAGAAAGAGGATATCTGTACAGTAGGTGAAGGCAGTGACCCGCCGGTGCTGCTTATGTTTTATGAGGGAGCACGTTATAATGGGACGTACTCAATTGGGCTAGCGTACTCCGTGGACGGAGGGGAGACGTGGGAGAAGGCTCGGCACGTTGGGCCGGAGCCTGGCGGCCCGATCCTCCAGCCAAGGTTTGGGGAACAGGTTTGGGACAACCTGCTGGTTGGGACTCCCGACTTGATTGTGGTGGGTGCGATTGGAGGGGAGGGGAAGAGTGAGGGAGGAGGGGAAGGGGAGAGTGAGGGAGGAGGGGAGGGGAAGAGTGAGGGAGAGGTGGGGAGTGGCAGGATTCTAATGTATTACACTGGGGTTGGGGAGGTGAGTGGATGCGGGAGGGTGAGGGGGATAGGAGCAGCAGTGTGGGAAGGTTTAGAGACTGGGGACCTGAGCAAGTGGAGGAGACTGTTAGTGGATTAGAAGTTCAATTCAATACCAGGTGCATATCCAAGATGATGTTTCAAACAATCCCAATAGGGTTTAGTACTGCAGGTACATGGCATTATCCCACTATCTTTATTAAAGTGCATGCTTTGTTGAGTGCATCAGTCTGAAAGTGGATGGACGGCCAGAGAATGGCACCAGCTGTTACTAACTAGCTGCTCTATTCTCTATATGTTAATGGAGTGGCCTAAAAAAAAACTACTAATATAAGCTCTAGAAGAATTGCGCAGTAGTGGGTCATCAGCATCGTTTCCGCAAAAGCCCCTTGCAGCCGTTACATGAGAAGTCAACTACAGTGGCACCCCTGCGATTGTGGTGAAGGGAATAGATTGGGCATAGGAGGAATAAGCATCAGCAAAAGTGCTCAACTAAGCCCCAAGAGCTAATAAAGAGGATGAACCTGCTCATTTAGACTCCACATCAGGTTCCTCCAATATCAATCTCTGTTCTGATTGAAACAAGTCAAACACACTACACTTGTGGTAAGGGAGGGGGGTGGGGGGAGAGAAAGGAGAGGAAAGCATTGACATGCTAAGGACCGGAAAGGAGAGTCTCATGGAACCAACCAATGCATTGACATGCTTCCCCTCCAACCAATGCATGGAGAGATCAGTAATGGCGAGCCTTTAATGAGTACAATTCATTACTCGCTTCAAACCATCCCCATCCCACGTCCCGCACCATACGCCCAAACCATGTTGCCGTAACCCGAGAGTTTCATTCCTACACTTTCTGGAAAAAAAGAGTTACTTTTTCCACCCACAGGCAAACAAACAGCCCCCACCACCACTCACTTGGCATCGTGACCTCCATCCACCTCCCAAATCCCCGCGCCATACGCCCAAATCATGTTACTGTAACCCGATCGCTTCACAGGGACACTGCTGTCTTCGCCTATTCCACGGGAGAATCTGAAATGCGAAGATAGGCGCAGGGAACGGAACGGGCAGGGGGTTCGGAAAGAAATTTGAGTTGCCTCGAAAAAAGATCCGCAGCTGTAATGGGGGTGGGGGCGGGGGAGGGAGGTCGGTGACGGTAATTCTGCCATCAAAACTGCCTGCATTAGAGACTTATCTTCATCTGGAACACTCGACGAGCTAGCCGACCACAAAGCAGCGACGGGCTTCGCCGTGTACAAGGGGTCGCTTATGAGACCACTCACTATACGCGATACAAGGACCGCAGCACCTGTACCTCCCAACAAAACTTAAGCAACAAAACAGATTTGTCATCTTCTGTAACACTCGACGAGCTCGCCGACCACGAAGCAGCATCAGCCTTCGCCGTGTACAGGGGGTCATTATCGCTATACGCGATACAAGAACCTCGATACACATGCTGACTTACTGCATTACAACAGACTTGTCATCTTCTGTAATACTGTACGAGCTCGCCGACCACGACGCAGCGACGGCCTTCGCAGTGTACAGGGGATCACTCTCGAGATCGTATTGGCCCGGCGCGGAGCCGACTTCCTCCATTACAATCACATTGCTGCCGCCCATCTTGCCGCTCCGCGACCACCCCACGGCGAACCAGCTCGCCGCAGCCGGAGTGCCTTTCTTCGCCTCGAGAGCCAGCTGAAGCTGATCGCTCGACGGGGTCGCTGCCTGCCAGTGCAGAGTAAGCCTGCGGGGAGGACGGAAAGGGGGGAAGATGGGAGGAGGATGAGAGGAGACGGAAGGAGCGGAGATCGTTTCACAAGCTGATCGCTCGACGGGGTCGCTGCCGCTGCCTGCCAGGGCCGTATGAGCCTGCGGGGAGGACGGAGAAGGGGAAGATGGGGGACAGAAGGTGCCGAGAGACGAAAGGGGAGAAGAGTCTTTTGCAAGCTGATCGCTCGACGGGGTCTCTGCTTGCCAGTGCCATGTGAGGACGGAGAAGGGGAAGATGGAGAAGGGGAAGATGGGGGACAGAAGGCGAGGAGAGACGAAAGGGAAGAGAAGAGTCGTTCACAAGCTGATCGCTCGACGAGGTCACTGCCTGCCAGTGCAGAGTAAGCTACGGGGAGGACGGAAAAGTGGAGGATGAGGAAGAGAAGGTATGAAGAGAGCAGAGCATCTCACAGGTCAGTCGCTCAAAGAGGTGACTGCCTGCCAGTGATCAGTGAGCCTGCGGGGAGGACGGGCAAGAGGAAGTCGGGGGAGACGAGAGGGAAGTGGAGGGGCTTTCACAGGCTGGCCGCTCGACGAGGTGACCGCTGCCAGTGAACAGTGAGCCTGCAGGGAGGACGGGAAAGAGGAAAACGGGGGAGACGAGGAGAGGGAAGTGGAGGGTCTCTCACGGGCTGGCCGCTCGACGGGTTCTCTACCTGCCAGTGCAGAGCGAGCGGGTGGGGAAGGCGTAACGGGAGAAGCGAGGAGACGAGAGAGACAAGGGGAGGAGCGGAAAGGGGAGAGGTGACGAAAGGTAAGCGACGAGATGAAGCTGGTCGCTCGACGAGGCCTCTACCTGCCACTCCAGCGCCAGGAGAGTGCGGCTGCGGGGAGAACCGTATGTGCGCGGGAATGGAGGACGATGAGTCGACTCAAAAGTAACTTGGAATGGAGGGCAGTGGGGAGGGAAGAATGCGAGGGGGATCGGTTTGATGCCGCAAGGAACCAGATCGAAGCAAGGGGAAAGGGGAAGCGGGGGAAGGGAACAAGTGGAAAGGGAACGAGTGAAAGGGGATGAAGGGAAAGTGCGGCATTTTCAAGAGAAACCGACCGCTACTCGCATATCATACCCGTTAGAGAGCTGTTTCGACGAGGAGTAACCCGCCAGCGAAGACTTTTGGCATTTCGCGAAGAACACGAGCGGGTTCGACACTCTCTGAAAGTCGAACTTGAAGTTGAATTTGAAGCTGGGAACGGTAAAGCCAGCCTTGGGAGTGACGACTGTGCTAGGGTTAAAACTAGCTTCGGATCGCGCGGACGTGCGTGACGTGAGCGCTGCGAGAAGGACGAGCGCAATTCCCAGAGGAAGCAACCGCGGAGCTGATCGGGCCATGGCTTCGGACTTGACGGGAAGACGTGCTGTGCTGGGTTGGGCTGGGCTGGGCTGTGAATGCGGCGCGTGACTGTGGTTCGACTGCAATGTCCTTCCGTGACCAAAACAGGCGATTATGCCAGTGATACCGCCAACAGTCTGTGCTGACGTGAGGGTGATGCAAGGGATGAGATGAGATAATCTTACCCTAGTTTCTCTAAATCTAGCGGAAACTGATGCTGTGCTGAACTGGAGCATTCATTCACATGATCATGACTGTCAAAAACTGTGGTTTTGTTTCCAGATCACAAGCCTAGTGAAACGCAGCTAAGCAGGTGCCATCCAATGAGATGCTGCTGTATGGCGCTGGATGTTGTAATGCGAACCAATCGGACCAAAGCGTGGTGCCTAATCATCATCGTCAGCGCTACGGAGGGCTGAGATGCGCGCTGTGATGTGCGCTTTGTTGAAACCAACGGTATGTATGAAATGAGCAGAGCGCTCACTGTGACTAGCAGCGTACAGCACATCAGCAAACAAAGCCCGACGCGATGGGGGCTGAAAGTCCAATCATTTCGGCAAGCAGTAGCACCAGATACACGCTCCACCCACACACCGCGATGAGCAAGGATATTGAGGTGGAACGCTTTACGTGGGAAGACGTCTGGCGGGAGATGCGCGCCTCGCTAGAGTTACTATATAGAGCGGGTGCCATTAGCGCGACCCGCAAGCAAAACATTCAAATTTCGAATTGGCGGCCGCGACACGGCAAAGGTGTCTACATCCAGATCCTCCTCTTGACACCGTCACGCCACTCGGATACGGGTAGTGGTAGGCCTCGCCTCAGGAACGAACTGACTTCTTTCGAAATAGTGACGATATATAGATTGAATACATACTGGTATGATAATGTAATATACGAATATAAATAAAAAGTGAAGGAGCTCTGCAAAGTGTGCAGTTGACCTCAGCTCCAGTCAGGTAACACATTCTTTTTTCTCTCTCTTTCTTACAGCACAATACAGCTAAATAGATTATGTGAAAATGATGCTGTTGTTTGACACTCAAGGTATTGCACGAGTTAATTTGGGTAGCTATTTGCTGATGTAGGAAAAACAAACTCGTACCACTACAGCTATGATGCACCCTCAGTCCAACTCCCAGAAGAGTTGTTTAGCAAAAGATCCTTGACACGCCTCTGCAGTCGCAGGAGAAATTCACCACTGTAGCGCCTCTGAAATAAAATAAGAAATGAGTCGAGAGTGGCGGAGGGGGAGCAGGTAGGGGAAGAGGGGAAGGGGAGGATGGGGTTGGGTCGGGGATGGGATGAGAGGGGGTTGGGGGCAGGGGGCAGCAAGTGCCATGTTTAGAGATCCATCAGCAAGTGCTAGTCCTCCTGATCCGCTTATTAATGTGCAATTTCTATGTCTCCAGTCCCATGTTGACCTCCTCTTACCCCTTGCCTGCGTTTACGACATCAGCCGTTGATGTTCTTCTCCTTGCACTTTCACTGGGCACTAAATATACACACTTGTTGCCTGAGGTTGACTGTGTCGACCAGCGTTGACTGCCCCTCACCTGGTCACATGCGGTCCGCTAGGACTCCAAGCTCCCAGACCAAACGCCCACACAATGTGCGTCCTTCCTCGTAGCTTCACCGGCACCCCTGCGTCCCCCTTAGCTCGGCTGAACCTGCAGTTTCCATCATGCACAGCAATGATCATACTGTAGTATGCTGGTGGTCTTAATATGACTCAATATTACAAAACGAGGTGACCTTTGAGCCGACACAAAAGCAAAATCTTCTCACTTCATGATAATGCCCATATTAATTATTGTGACACTCGTATCAGCAGCAGTCCACGTGGCAGGGCTACCACTGACAGCATGCCCGATCAGATCAGCAGTCACAGGAGGGCTGGACGGCGAATCCATTACAATCACGTTGCTGCCGCCCATCTTGCCATCCGGCGACCAGCCAGCAGAGAACCATCCGTGGGCGGCAAGAGACCCGGTTGTTGCCAGCAGTGCGAGTTTCACCTTCTCGCTACCCTTGGTTGTGGCCCTCCAGTGAAGGAAGAGACTGGTGGGGGGAAGGGTGGGAGGGGAGGAAGGAGGCACGCTAGTGGAGAAACAGACTTGAAATGAAAACCATCCGTGGGCGGCAAGAGACCCGGTTGTTGCCAGCAGTGCGAGTTTTACCTTCTCGCTACCCTTGGTTGTGGCCCTCCAATGAAGGAAGAGGCTGGTCGGGGGAAGGGTGGGAGGGGAGGGAGGAGGAGGGGAGGAGGCACGCTAGTGGAGAAAGAGACTTGAAAACCATCCATGGGTGGCAAGAGACCTGGTTGTTGCCAGCAGTGCGAGTTTCACCTTCTTGCTGCCCCCGGTGGTGGCCCTCCAATGAAGGAAGAGGCTGTGGGGGGGGAGGGTGGGAGGACAGGGGAACGGGAGCCAAGACATGACGGGTCCTCGGTCTTTTGCTGCTGTTGGCTTTTGAGGCGCCTCAAAAGCCAAGACATGACGGGTCCTCGGTCTTTTGCTGCTGTTGGCTTTTGAGGCGCCTCAAAAGCCAAGACATGACGGGTCCTCGGTCTTTTGCTGCTGTTGGCTTTTGAGGCGCCTCAAAAGCCAAGACATGACGGGTCCTCGGTCTTTTGCTGCTGTTGGCTTTTGAGGCGCCTCAAAAGCCAAGACATGACGGGTCCTCGGTCTTTTGCTGCTGTTGGCTTTTGAGGCGCCTCAAAAGCCAAGACATGACGGGTCCTCGGTCTTTTGCTGCTGTTGGCTGTAAACGACCCCCAAACGTCCCGTCTTTCACGCCAATGACAGCATAGACTGGGAGCGGGAAGGCGATACAAGAGCAACCATTGGTGGGCGACCAGAGAAGCATCCGGGGGAAAGAGAGTTGGGATTAGAGCACACGTTAAGACTCCTTAGACTTCTCTCTCCTGTTGGTCCCTATGGTAGCGCGCCAGTGCCAGCACAGTCTAGTGGGGGGAATAATAAGGGGGGAAAGGGGGAGAGGCGAAGGCGGGGGTGGGAGCGGGGGGAAGGGGGTTGGGAGGGGGGGGGGAGGGGGGGGGGTGGGAAGGAGGGTTTTTTGTGGGGAGGGGCTGCTCGTGTCAACTGCGGCTTACCCGCCTGTGAGGAGCTTGGAGGACATGAAGCCTCGGATGATGCCGGATTGTGGTTTTCACGAGCAGCGTAGGTGGCAATTCAAACAGCCGCATTCAGCAGCGAGGGCAATCACACCTTACCCGCCTGTGAGTCGCTTGGAGGACGTGAAGCCTCGAATGCCCGACTTGGAACAGCGACTGAATAGCAGCGATCGCCGCTTCTCCGATTCGTGGTGAGTCTCCTCCGCCACGTCGGAACTCCTCGCCACGTCAGAATTAGCCAGAGAGGGTCCAAAAGGGGGGAGGAGGAGGAGCAGGACGGAAAGAAGCAGCAGTAGGAACCTGAGACGTGTGGCGAAGGGCGGTGTGATGAGTGGAGACATCATGTCTAAGTTGGACGAAGTAGGTGGTTTGTTTGTTTTTTTATTAGTATTCAACTACTATTATTTTTATTATTCTTGAATGTTCAGTATTATGTATGTTGACGGCAGAAAAGGCACGGTACAACAAGCTCGTAAATAGAAGCCAGATTGAACCGTAAGAAAGAAGCCGTTTCACCACTCTCAGTGAGTTTCTTGCAAGGGTCTACTTTGCCGTAATATCAATCCCTCCTAGTGCTCGTCAGCGATATCAACTTTAAGAAACGCCAATACGAGCTATTCCGACTCGTTCTTACTGAGAATCGCAGAACAATGTCAAGAAGCGACACGGCTCCACATGGCTCCGTCAGCCCGTCACCTCCGCATCGCTCTCCTTCCATCGCTCCGCCCTTTCCAATAGGATTCCTGAGTCGACTCAAAAGACGGCTTTCCTGAAGCCTAGGAATCGAAATTGTCGTGTTTGCCACCGCCAAACACCATGGCTGTTCTGCTTGTTTTGCTAGGCTCCATGTCTGCTTGGTCGGCTATGTCTCAGGCAACGACAAGAGAATCCCGAGGTGAAGAGACTTCGGCTTGGGAACGCCGTCAAAGGTGTGCTGCAAGGGGAGGCAGGGAGAAGCGAGAGTATAAAGAGTGCAACAGTACACGAAGTTATATACAGTTATGTGCTTTGGCAGATGAAGGGAACATTGGTTGACACCGAACAAGGCATTCAGGACCATGCCGGATGATAGAGCATGGGTAGCTGCGAAGGCTGGCGAACTATAATCATTTTCGCGAAATTGGGCGCTACGCGAAGGATGATGGTTGTGCGAACAGCCCATCCCCACCCGTTTCCCAACCCTTACCACTTCCCACACTCCCATACCTGTCTGCGATGAACTTGATTTAGGCAGTAACTCTCGCAACAGCTGACTTCACGTCGCCTTCGCACAGCCACCTCCTACCTCCCAGAAGCATCCCGAGAACCTTCCGTCCTAAGTCCGTGGTGACGTGTCACTTTTAGGCGCCATGTGCAGAATTTTAGGCCGCAGGCCCGCAGCGGACTCGGGCACACGAAGCAATAGCAAGCTTCAACAAGCCAGTAAGGGATCTCGTATGCAGATTTCCGGCAGGAGATCCACCCCTGGGTGATAGACCGTGGTGCACTGGATAGATACTAGATGACGAGTATGAGACGTCGATGGGGAGTGGCGTAACGATTCTCCCCTTCGAGAAGTACGATGCGTTTCTCATTTTTGTCATTTTCTCAAAAGTTCGATTGAGTAACGAACCTCGCCACCTACCACGTCATCGTAGCTTGCTAGCTCCTGATTCCATTGGCCCCGTCAGCTTACCGCGATTCCCGCTCAACGTTCACGCTCTGGGTAGCCTCTCTAACGCGCTCTTGAAGTTCGGAGGCACGCGGATCGTAGCTCCTAGTGCAATCCCGCAAAGAACCTGACAACGTCGCAGCGCGCCTTCCAGCGTCCGCGGACCGTCTTCGACGTCGCACGGACGCTCAACTTCGCAGTCGACCAGGCCATCATGGTGCGACGGTCGCACGGCGACGCGTACGCGCTGCTGGGGGTGTCACACGACGCGTCGCTGGCGCAAGTGAAGGCCGCGTACCGCCGCCTGGCGCTCAAACTGTAAGACGACTCCGCTCTAGCTGCGAGAAAAGCTGGTTTTGAGGTGCCTCAAAACTGTAAGAAGACTCCGCTCAAGCTGCGCGAGAAGCTGCGGGGGGGCTGAAAAACAGGAATGCTGTGTGAGCATTATATAAGGAAATAGAAAAAAATGATGACCTAACAGAACCTTGGAAACTGGGTTTCAAGAGGGGAGGGGAGGGAGGGTGTGGAAGGGGGGAAGGGGGGAGGATTTGCGGGAGGAGAGAGAGGGATGGGGTGTATACTCTGTAACTTGTATCAGACATCCCTGTTTCATTTGACACACACATGTTCCCTTCTTCATGCACGTCTGTCATGAATAAAGAAAAGGCATCGCATGGTTGCTGTGATCGCTATAAGCCTATAACAACATTTCTCTGTGTCTTTGCTTAAATTTCCTTCTTCCACCACCGCAGCCATCCAGATGTGAACACTTCGGGGGATGCTGACGCCTTTCGGAGAATCACAGAAGCCTACAACTACCTCCTCCACACTCCCTCACACCACCACACTCACTCCCACTACGCTCATGCACGCTCCCACCGCAACTTCCGCCACGGGCCTTTCTCCTCCTCCTTCACCTCATCGAATCCGGTCGCGACACCTGGCAGCAGGCGATTGCCTGCGTTGATTTGCGGCATCGGGCTGGCTATGGGCTGCCTCCTGTTCCCTGCCGTGCTTATAATGAGTAAGATGGATAACTTCAACCGATTCTATCACTATCCTAGTCGGGAGGAGGAAGAAAAAAGCAGGAGGGGGGTTGAAGAGCATGAGGACGGGGAAAGCAGTAGCGGCGGAGACAGCAGCAGCAGCAGAAGCAGTGGTGATGGTGGGAGTGGAAGCAGAAGTGGAATACTGGATGGGCTTGGATTTGGCAGGGGGCCAATCGGGCAAGCAGTCGGCCATGCCTTAACAAGCAACACTAGCAGAACAGCTGGGAATGAGGAGGAGGGAAGTCAAAGACAGAGTGGTAACGATGGCAGTGCTGGGAGCAGTGGCAGTGGTGACAGTGGTAGCAGGAGAAGCAGTAGCAGCTGGTGGAGCAGCATGGGGGGTGGTAACAGAGGAGGGCCGAGGGGGCCAAGCCGAGTGGTGGAGCCGACTGCTGATGAGGAGAAGCGGCAGAGAATTGCGAGAATACTGCTGGAGCGAGCTCGCAATGCGCAGGAGGATGGGGCAGGGGAGGAGGTGCGCTGAGATGGTGGGGGTTGGCTACGTTGGGGAGCAGCCGTGGAGGTTTGGGATTGAGATGGTGATCAACGATGGGAAGAGGAGATTGTGAGGTGCGTGTGGTGGAATTGGAGGGAAGATTTGAGAATAGAGACTTGTGTTTCCACTGGGAAAAATGTGTGGTGTGCAACAAATTGCTTCACTAGATGCTAGTACTGGTAGAGTCAATTATGTTAAGCAACCTTCAATGAGTAATGTAATCCATCCCTTGATTGGTGCATGCATTCTTCCCTTGCATACTTTTGTTTTTGCATTCTTGAAGAATACCAAGTCTGTTTAGCATATTTCCTTGTGATGTTTATCCCTAACTAAAGTTAGCAGGTAGGGAGTCCAGCCAAACGCTTATGGTTGAACACATGTGCTGATTCATGAGCTCAACTGCTAATCCAATTCACGAGGTCCCCAACGAGGAGTACAAGTTTTGGCGGGAAGAAGGCACAAATTTCGAGGGTCGTAGCCGTCCGTCTCCAACTAGGCTCTGAATTGGATCCTTGTCACCATTTTGCCTAGCACACTGTTTTTGTGTGGCTGTGGAAACTCGTCAATCCAGTGCAGAATAAAATACGGTTATGAGCGGTTCATCTAGACAACAGCAGGTTGGGTCGGGTTTAGTAAAGTTGAGCTGCATCAGCTTATGGTGGGTGTTGGTGCAGTATGGGGTGGGTGGTCTGGCTTTCAGTCTTTTCTCCAGTTTGCTCTCCAGACTAGGTAGGCAGAACGCGTTGCTGAAGCATGGAGCAATGACTCCTCTCCTCAACGCCGTCATCGCCATACCATTTTACGAGAATGAAATCATCGTTCTTGCCCGAGCCGCATTCGCTTTGGATCCGAACCTAGTTGTGGTGTGTAGTTCCACCTGATGAGCGACCGTGCCTTTGTAGAATCTGGAAAGTTCGCTGCTTAGTTGAAACTTGACGAGGCAACGAGATACAAAAGAGTGCACTCGTAGCGATCCCCGCAGGTCGCCAAACACGATCGGTTTGAATTCGTGTGATCTGGTCCGCCGGTTTAGGTGCGAGCTAACGCGTCGTAGCATGTATACTGTTGCGCGTCACGGCTAGATTCCCGAACAACATTTATCAATGAGTAGTCGCCAAATCACTTCACCCTGCGAGACTTTTGAGTCACTGACATGCGCCGAACCGTTAGATTATTGTTTGCGTTACTAAATAAAGCCTGAAGGTTTGGACCTTCTCCTGATTCCTCACCGAAACCTCGGACAGCTTGTTTCGCTTGAAACCTCGCGAGCCTTACGTTCACCTGAACCCCAACCACATACTCTCCGTTGCAACAGTCCCATTTTTAGGTTACCTTAATTCGAAGCCCTCACTTTTTTACTACAGGGCATGTTACCCTATCGAGTTCTTCTTGCGGAATTCTAGAAAGCAATTCTATTACGTATTTGAGGATTTGATAAATCGACTCCAACATGTATCGAGGTCTAGGCGGGTTTCCGCCGTCAACGGCGGCCGTCGCGGAGTCGTTTTCCGCCGCGTTCCAGTGCGCGTCAGATTCACCAGATCTGGACACAGACGGTGGCCCCGTGCGAATCGAGGGAGCCAGGGTTCTGGGTCCGTTGGACGACTATATCGAACCTGACAATAACGAGCTCGCGGAGATGGAATTTCGGGATGCCCACGAACCGCAGCAGCTGCCGCAAGAAGAAGTGCCGCCTCAGCAGACGCGTAAAGGTGTTATCGGCAGCCGTTTTTTTGGGCAGCAGAAAAGTTCAGTGGCCGGTAATAGTTCCGTGGGAAAAGGGAGGGCTTTAACTCAAGATTCCCCTACGGGGGCGAGCGTTGGGCAAGACGCCAGTATGCCGTCAGATCGTGTGCGATCTGTAAATGGGATGCTTACTAACGGGAGTGCTAGTAACGGGAAAGCAGGCAACGGCGCTCGCAGTAACAGCACAGAGCCTGTGGCGATTCCCAGACGAACCCTCAAGATCAAACCGCTTCATCAGCTGACGAAACCGGTCCTGCAACCCGACCGTGCTGCTGCTGCTGGTGGTGGTGCTGCTGCCAGTGGTGCAGGTGCTGGTGAGGAGGGGAATGAAAGCGACGAGAAAAGAAAGGGACCCGGAGGTTCGTCCGCGTTAGTGTCGCCTCCGCTGCCGTCCATTGACTCGTTCGCACACACTCGCCGCCTGCAGAGCCTGTCGAGCTTCAAGCCGCGGTCTCGCCTGCTTGGCCGGCAGTCTCAAGGGGGAGAGGTAGGGGAAAAGGGAGGCGCTACTGCTGTCGGTGCTGCTGCTGGTGTTGCTGGTCCTGCTGGCGCTACTGCTGGTGGTGGTGCCTCTGCTGCTGGCAGTGCTGGTAACCCGTCAGGTAAGAGCATTGTGTCGTTCTCTAGCCGAGCGTCCCAGCTGCAGCAGCGGCAGCAGCCGCTTGTAATGGGGCCCTTCCGTGTTCCCAGGCGGCTGAACGCGAACGCAGCTGAGTTAAGCGCTCGTGAGGATACGTCGTGCACTACTGCTGCTACTGGAGCGTCCAATAACGGGGACAGAGCGCGGACAGGGCCCCTGGGCGGCAGGGTAGCGGGCGATGGGGAAGGTGTAGCTAGAGACGGGTTTCGCAGGCTGCAGAAAGGTGGGCGGGGAGGTTTGGCCGGTAGTGCGACCGCCGCCGCCCCTGGAGTGGATCAGATGAGGAGTGATCAGGTAGAGGATGAGATAGAGGGGTTTAGTGTTGGGGAAAGTGAGGGGAGAAGAGAGGGAGAGGGTTTTGGGCGTGCAGGGATGTTGACAGAGTCGTCCCGTGGAGGAGGAACGGAGGTGGGAAGAGACGGTGATGGGGGAATGCAGGGGAAGAGGAAGAGGCGAAAGATCGTTCTGTGTAGTGATGGCAGTGATGGGGATTATGAAGAGGAGGAGGAGGAAGAGGGAGGGGAGGAGTGGGGAGAGGAGAAGAAGATTTCACCTTTCAAACGAGCGGATGATGCAGCCACTGTGAACGCGAGGAGGTTCTTTGGAGTGCGGCAGCCCCAGGGCGGTCCCATCCATGGGGGTCCGAAGATCGCCCCTGGGCAGACGGGTGCGCAGATGCCCCCCAGCAGCAGCGCGGCTGTGCAGAGGGCGGAGAGGGATGAGCTGCGCGCGCGCCTGCTGGCGCTGCACGCCCCCAGCAAGGGCTGGCGCTCCGCTAGGGACCCAGGGGCGGTTGAGGAGAAGGGGACGGGGACGGGGACGGGGACGGGGACGGGGAAGGGGAAGGGGGTGGGGAAGGGGAAGGGGAAGGAGAAGGGGAAGGGGAAGGGGAAGGGGAAGAAGGGGAAGAAATCGGGGAAGGATCGGTGGGAGGATGAGGATGAGGAGGAAGATGAGGAGGATGATTGGATCGTGGAGGATGATATCGAAGAGGAGATAGAGGAGGAAATCGAGGAGTTAGAGGGGTTAGAGCTGGAAGAGGAAGAGGATGATGATGAGGAGGTGTTTGGTAGGAGGGGAAGGAGGGTCACGAAGGGGAAGCAGAAGAAGGATGAGTGGGTGAGGAGGTCGGGGCGGGCTAGAAGGCCGGCTAGGTATGCCCAGAGCGAGGAGTGGGAGGGGGAGGAGGAGTGGGGAGAAGGGGGGGAGGGTGGTGGGGGAGGAGGAGTAGGAGGAGGCGGAGGAGGGGGTGGAGGGGGAGAGGAGGGGGAAGAGGAGGAGGTGGTGGTGACGAGGAGGAGTGTGAGAGCAGCAGGCAGGGCGGCTGTAAGAGGGAGGAGGTCTTTGGAGGAATGGGAGGAGGAGGAGGAGGCAGAGGAGGATGAGGAGGACGAGGAGGAGGAAGAGGAGGGAGGGGAGGGGGGGAGAGAGTACAGAGAGAAGAAGGAAGAAGAGAGCGATCCTGTTTTGGAGGCTCTGAGAAAGTCTGAGCAGATCGCTGCAGCACTGAAGCAGAAGCTGCTGCTGTCTGCTGGGCGAAAGCAGGGGGAAAAAGGGGAGATGGGGGGGTTGGGGGAGAAGGGGAAGCGGGGGTTGGAAGGGGGTTATGCGGAGACGGATGAGTCGGCGGCGAGGCTGATATCGCAGGACGATGTGTCGGCGGCGTGTGGGGAGAGCGTGCAGCTGAAGGGGTACCAGCTGGTGGGAGTCAACTTCCTGCTGCTGCTGTACCGACAGAAGGTTGGAGGAGGTAAGTGAGTGTGCTGTTGGGAGGCAGAAATGTATCAGAGTCTTGAGGCGTCGTGCAGCTGAAGGGGTATCAGCTGGTGGGAGTCAACTTCCTGCTGCTGCTGTACCGACAGAAGGTTGGAGGAGGTGAGTGGTGGTTTTTGAGGGGTAAGCAGCGGTGCAAGAAGAACGCGAATGCTGTTTGAAACGTGTGGGCTTGAAAGAGCGTGTAGCTGAACTGAAGAGGTACCACTGGTGGGCATTAACTTCCTGCTGCTGCTGCTGCTGCTGCTGCTGCTGCTGGTACCCCTTCAGCTGGTGGGCGTGAACTTTTGCTGCTGCTGTACCGACAGAAGGTTGGGGAAGGTGAGTGGTGTTTTTTGAAGGTGTGTGGTAAGGAATGTATATCTCGCATATCGTTTTCTAAATTCTGGTGCTCTCCTCCGTCTTTTCTTTTCATTTCCTTTTAATCGTTTTCTGACTCGGAGCTCTGTGTCCTGTTTTGTGTTCGTTCGCTGGTTGTGTGCAATAATGATGAAATTGAACCCTATTTTCTATGACTCTGTGTCTTGGTTTGTGTTGATTGTTTGCAGCAATTCTTGCGGACGAAATGGGCCTCGGCAAGACTGTGCAGGTGAACGGTCATCCTTGGACCTCAAACCTAAAACCTAGACTTCAGACATTAATGATTATGGGGCGGTGTTCAACAAGTACAAAGGCATAGTTTTTTTGGAAGCCGCAACTTATCCAGCTGAGTTGGGCTTCCAAAAACCTCTGCCCTTTGTACTTTTTAAACACTGCACCATAATCTCCAAGAGAGCTGTGCTGTGCATATCCAGCAGCAACCTCACAGTCCTACAGCTCCTCGACTTCAAAATCAGTTGACCGAATGTGCTTGATTGTGTGGTTGCTTTTTCAATCAACCGACTTGGCTGCTTTTCCTTTTTGATTGGCTCATTTCATATGTTGGTGCCCCAACCTTCTCAACCCTTGTCCAAATGTTAGCTACTGCCTCGCTCCTCGACAACTGGCAGCGTGAGCTGCAGCGCTGGTGCCCGAACCTGCGCATGGTTCTGTACCATGGGGTAAGAGGGGAGCGCTGCGGGAGCTGAGGATGCATTTTGAGACATCTCAAAATACAACTTTTATCTGGTGCCCGCCCCTGCGCATGGTTCTGTACCATGGGGTCAGAGGGGAGCGCTGCGGGAGCTGAGGATGCATTTTGAGACGTCTCAAAATACAACTTCTATCTGGTGCCCGCCCCTGTGCATGGTTCTGCACCATGGGGTCAGAGGGGAGCGCTGCGGGAGCTGAGGATGCATTTTGAGACGTCTCAAAATACTTCTATCTGGTGCCTGCCCCTGTGCATGGTTCTATACCATGGGGTCAGAGGGGAGCGCTGCGGGAGCTGAGGATGCATTTTGAGACGTCTCAAAATACAACTTCTATCTGGTGCCCGCCCCTGTGCATGGTTCTGTACCATGGGGTCAGAGGGGAGCGCTGCGGGAGCTGAGGATGCATTTTGAGACGTCTCAAAATACAACTTCTATCTGGTGCCCGCCCCTGTGCATGGTTCTGTACCATGGGGTCAGAGGGGAGCGCTGCGGGAGCTGAGGATGCATTTTGAGACGTCTCAAAATACAACTTCTATCTGGTGCCCGCCCCTGTGCATGGTTCTGTACCATGGGGTCAGAGGGGAGCGCTGCAGGAGCTGAGGATGCATTTTGAGACGTCTCAAAATACAACTTCTATCTGTTGCCCGCCCCTGTGCATGGTTCTGCACCATGGGGTCAGAGGGGAGCGCTGCGGGAGCTGAGGATGCATTTTGAGACGTCTCAAAATACAACTTCTATCTGGTGCCCGCCCCTGTGCATGGTTCTGTACCATGGGGTCAGAGGGGAGCGCTGCGGGAGCTGAGGATGCATTTTGAGACGTCTCAAAATACAACTTCTATCTGGTGCCCGCCCCTGTGCATGGTTCTGTACCATGGGGTCAGAGGGGAGCGCTGCAGGAGCTGAGGATGCATTTTGAGACGTCTCAAAATACAACTTCTATCTGGTGCCCGCCCCTGTGCATGGTTCTGTACCATGGGGTCAGAGGGGAGCGCTGCGGGAGCTGAGGATGCATTTTGAGACGTCTCAAAATACAACTTCTATCTGGTGCCCGCCCCTGTGCATGGTTCTGTACCATGGGGTCAGAGGGGAGCGCTGCGGGAGCTGAGGATGCATTTTGAGACGTCTCAAAATACAACTTCTATCTGGTGCCCGCCCCTGTGCATGGTTCTGTACCATGGGGTCAGAGGGGAGCGCTGCGGGAGCTGAGGATGCATTTTGAGACGTCTCAAAATACAACTTCTATCTGTTGCCCGCCCCTGTGCATGGTTCTGCACCATGGGGTCAGAGGGGAGCGCTGCGGGAGCTGAGGATGCATTTTGAGACGTCTCAAAATACAACTTCTATCTGGTGCCCGCCCCTGTGCATGGTTCTGTACCATGGGGTCAGAGGGGAGCGCTGCGGGAGCTGAGGATGCACCCCTGCACCCGTCTGACCCTTCCTCCCCACTCCCCATTCTCCCCACTCCCCGTCCTCCCCATCCCCCTAACCCTGCTCCTCCGTTCCCCCAGGCGGTGGTGCTGCTGGGGCTGCTCGGTCACCTGGACAACAACCCTGGACCCCATTTAGTCGTAGCCCCAGCCTCCCTCCTTGACAACTGGCAGCGCGAGCTGCAGCTCTGGTGCCCGCAGCTAAGGGTGGTGCTGTACCATGGCGGGCAGAGGACAGCGCTGCGGGAGCTCTATGGTGGGAAGGGGAAGAAAGGGAAGAAGGGGAAGAAGGAGAGGCGGCGAGAGAGGCGGAAGAAGGCAGAAGGAGGGGGAGAGGGTAGTGGAGGGGAGGGGGAGGAGGAGGAGGAGGAGGAAGGGGGGAAGATGGGATTTGATGTGTTGCTGACGTGCTACTCGCTGTTTGAGAGGGATAGTGCCGCCCAGAGGGACGACCGGAAGTTTCTGCGCAGGTTCCGGTTCTCGTGTGTTTTGATGGACGAGGCGCACTTGCTCAAGGACAGGAGCAGCCAGCGGGCCATGAAACTGCGACAGCTGGCACAGGCTGCGGATTACCGGCTCATGTTGACCGGCACGCCCCTGCAGAACGACCTTCAGGTGAGAATGGCTGGATGAATGATGTTATGTGGAATGGAATTAGCACACAACGTGGGATGGACGGACGAGGCGCACCTGCTCAAGGACGGGAGCAGCCAGCGAGTGATGATGCTGCGGCAGCTGGACAAGCAGCAGATTATCGACTCATGCTCTCTTGTTCACTTGTTTCGCATTTCCTGCTTTCCTCTCTCCCCTTTGACCTCCCAGGAGCTCTGGTCGCTACTGGAATTCTTCATGCCAGCCATATTCACCGCCCACCAGTGCGACATAGCAGAGCACCTGGGCAAGCGGGACCACCAGGCGTACAGGGTGATAACTACTTCATTCCACCCCAGGGTTCACTTCTTGCGTGTTTCTTGCTGCCCTGCCCTTCCCCTTCACCCCTCCCAGGAGCTCTGGTCGCTGCTAGAGTTCCTCATGCCGGCCATATTCACGGCCCATCAGTGCGACATAGCAGAGTATCTGGGCAAGAGGGACCAGCCGTCCCAGAAGGGGGGAGGAGGGGGAGGGCCAGCAGATGAGGGGCTGATAGGGCGCATGAAGGCCATTCTGGGGCCGTTTGTTCTAAGGAGAGTCAAGGCGGACGTTATGAAGCAGCTGGTGGCGAAGGTCCAGAAGGTGAGAAAGGGGGGAGGAGTGGGGGCAGCAGATGAGATGAGGGGCTGATAGGGAGGGGGAGGGCAGTGGACCGGGGGCTCATAGGGCGCATGAAGGCAATTCTGGGCCCGTTTGTGCGGCGGCGGGTGAAGGCAGATGTGATGAAACAGCTGGTGGCGAAGGTGCAGAAGGTAAGAGGCGGGTGGGTGGGGATGGGTGTGAATGGGTGTAGGTGGGCTGGTTTGTGCTGCGGGAAGTGAAGGCAGATGTGATGAAACAGCTGGTGGCGAAAGTACAGGAGGTGAGAGTGAGAGGGGTGTGGATGGGTGTGCATGGGTGTGCATGGGTGTGGTTTTGTTGTGCAATGCTAATCCCAAGTGGATGGATGGAAGGGCAGTAACATGCTAAGCTGTATCCTCCCCTGCCAATCTTCATCCTCGTTATTGGCAGGTCGAGCTACTGCCTATGGAGGGCGAGCAGGCAACAGCATACAATGAGGCTGTGGAGCAGTACAGAAGGGCAGTGGCGGCAAGAGCGGGAGGGGGAGATAGAGAGGGGAAGTCGAAAGAAGAGGGAGAGGGGGGAGGGGAAGGGGAGGGCGGCACGGCTGCTGTGGCAGCGGCGGTGGATGCGATGCCGAGGAGACAGCTGGCGAGCATCTTCACCCACCTGAGGAAGGTATGACTGGTGGAGGTACAGCTGGTGGAGGTACAACTGGTGGAGGTACAAGTGGTGGAGGTACAACTGGTGGAGGTACAGCTGGTGGAGGTACAGCTGGTGGAGGTACAACTGGTGGAGGTACAACTGGTGGAGGTACAACTGGTGGAGGTACAACTGGTGGAGGTACAGCTGGTGGAGTGGTTGAGTGGTGGGGGGTTGGGTGGTGGAAAGGTGGGTGTGCCTTCATTATTGGTGCGGCTGCTTTTGGGTGTGATCCTAAACCCTAAGCACTGGATGAAGATGGCCAGGGTGCTGCACAAGAGGGGCGTGTTTGGGTTTTTATAAAAAATCGTTTTTTTTCTCTCTCTCTCTCTTTCTTTCTTTCTTTCTTTCTTTCTTTCTTTCTTTCTTTCTTTCTTTCTTTCTTTTCTTTTCTTTTCGTTTTTTTTACAATTTCGTTTTTCTAGATTTCTCATAAAAACACGGCAGTGGACGAGATGGCTGCGATGCTACACAAGAGAGGCGTGTTTGGGGAGGGAGTGCACGCAGTAGCGCGTGGAGGAGACTTTTGAGTCGACTCAAAAGTCACCTCATGTTTGGGGAGGGAGTGCACGCAGTAGCGCGTGGAGGAGGAGGAGCTACGAGGCCATGATGTTGCAGAGTGTTTTTGAGAATTCTCAAGAACACGCAGTAGCGCGTGGAGGAGGAGGAGCTACGAGGCCACAGCGACTTCCCCGTTTTTTCCCTTCCCCTGTGCAGGTTCCTATTTTCCATGGCCAATCCCCCATGTGTCCCATCCCCATTTCCGCTTTTCCCCCCACAGCTCGCCAACAACCCTCTCTTGGTGCGCCGCCTGTTCTCCGACGAAGCAGTGGATGAGATGTCAGCTGTGCTGCACGGGAGGGGCGTGTTTCCCCTCATGCCCTTCCCCGTCCCTATTCCCTCTCCCTCCGTCTCCCCCACACAGCTCGCCAACCACCCTCTCTTGGTGCGCCGCCTCTTCTCCGACGCAGCAGTGGACGAGATGGCGGTTGTGCTGCATGGGAGGGGCGTTTTTGGCGGGGAGTGCACGTGGCAGCGCGTGGAGGAGGAGCTACGAGGCTACAGCGACTTCACGCTCAACCAGCTGTGTGCCGCCCACAGCGACGCACTCTCGCACTTCCTGCTCTCACGGGAACAATTCTTCCACTCCTGCAAGTGCCAGGTGGGTGTGGGGAAGGATATTGTTGCATGGAAGGAAAAGGTGGGTTTGGGGGAGGAGCTGAGGGGCTACAGCGACTTCCCGCTCAACCAGCTGTGTGCCGCCCACAGCGACGCACTCTCGCACTTCCTGCTCTCACGGGATCAGTTCTTCCACTCCTGCAAGTGCCAGGTGGGTGTGGTGGGGATGCCAGGTGGGGCTGGTATGGATGGGGGTGCGAGGGCAAGGAACAATTGGCGAGGTTTATTTTGGGTTTACTTTTGAGAATTCTCAAAGAACTCAACTTCTTGGGGGGTGTCTCGCAGGACTCCCTCTCACGCTTCCTGCCCTACCGGGATCACTTCTTTCACTCGTGCAAGTGCCAGATGGGGCTGCTTTGAGTGAGAGGGCAGTGGCTAACTGGTGAGGTTTCGTTTGGGGGAGTGGGAGAGGGGGGAAGAGGGGAACGCTTGGAACGCTTTGCTCACCACTGCAAGTGCCATGTGGGGCTGCTGTGGGGATGCGAGGGGAGGGGACAACGCAGGTGAAAATTTCTCGAGTCCTGGTGAAAATTCAGATGTGACGGAAGTGTGATGACTTCTCTGCCTCCTCTTCTGCCTAGTCCATTCGTCCTCCTCATTTCACCCTCCGCACCGCATTGGATTGGATTGCAAACCAATATCTCTCTAACCTAACCTCCTTTCTTTTCTTCTGCCCCTCTCCTCTCACAGGCTCTCTCAACGCTCCTTCCCCAGCTGAAATCCGACGGTCACCGTGTGCTGCTGTTCAGCCAATGGACGGCTGTGCTTGACATTCTGCAACACGTGATGGGGCTGCTCGGATTGACCTTCCTTAGACTGGATGGCAGGTGAGTCGTTTGTGAGAATCATAAGGGGGAGGCGTACTGGTGGTAGGAATGAGTGGGCGGGGGCGCAGAGGCAAGCCCTGGTGGACGAGTGCAAGCAGGACCGCTCGGTGTTGGCCACACCACTCCATGCCAGTACCATGCCAGTACCATGCCAGTACCATGCCAGTGCCATGCCATCACTCCCTCCCCTTCCGTCCACCCATTCCTCCTCCCCTCCCCCAACCCCCCCACAACCAGCGCGCAGGTGGTGCAGAGTTTTTGAGACGTCTCAAAACTTCACTTTCTACACGCAGGTGGTACAGAGGCAGGCCCTCATGGGCGAGTTCAATTGGGACCCCTCGGTGTTTGCCACTCCATGCTGCTTGCCACCATGACACGCTCTTCCCGACTCCTCTTATGCCGTATCCTTTTTGCTCACACATCAGCACGCAGGTGGTACAGAGGCAAGCCCTGGTGGATGAGTTCAATCGGGACCCCTCGGTGTTTGCGATGCTGCTTTCCACCCGGGCAGGCGGGCAAGGTTTGAACCTGACCGGGGCAGACACGGTGATTCTGCACGACGTGGATTTTAACCCCCAGATGGACCGGCAGGCGGAGGACAGGTGCCACCGGATAGGCCAGACTCGACCTGTAACTGTCGTGCGGTGAGCTGTAGCCATCATTTGGTGAGTTGTAACCGTCGTGCAGGGAGTTGTGACGATGAAACTGAACGTTGTTCTCATTTCCAGCATTGTGGTGTGAGTGGTACAGTAACTTGCAGTTACTCGTTGATGTTTCTCTGGCCCTTTTTTGCCTATTTTGGTCATGCTGTGTTATGTTAGAATTTAATATATTTAGCTCTGTGCCTCGTCCTTCCCCCACGGTTCCAGGCTTGTGGCACGTGCCACAGTTGATGAGGGCATTTTGAATATTGCCCAGCGGAAGCTCAGCTTGGATGCTGCTTTGCTAAGCGGTGGTGGTGAAGGGGGAAGTTCGAACGGGAAGGGGTCTGATAAGGGAAAAGGAGGCTCAGAGGAAGCTCAGAGCATGGCTGCTATTTTGTCATCAATTCTTGCTTCGAAGTCCTGAATTCTGATCCTTATCCAGCTATAATTGCATCCTACATTTTTGTATGCTCAGTGAAGAGTGTTCTCGAAAGCAAGTATCGTCAGAGAACCAGACCAAATGATTCCCACTGTGCTTCTTTATGTCCAGAATAAGATCCACCAAGATTGGCATATATTGTAAGGAATTTGCCAATTCCTTACTGTAGCCTTGCCTTAACGGGAACAGCCCGAGCACTTCGCGTCAGGTGGCTCGGCCTACATTTCCGCACCGAACTGTCAAGATATGTAGCTAGGGTGTAGCCTTAGGAGCCATGTTGGGGGTGGAGTGTGAGAGAGTAGGCAATGAAAAGAGGACTTCACTATAGAGCTAAGGGTACAAATATGATAGGAAAGGGGGTAATCCACCAAACAGAATGTGATAACTACACTACTGCTATATCTACATGCAGTTACAATAATATAACTCTGACATCCCCCCTTAACTGCATGCAGGAATAGCAAAGCATAAATCACAACCCGCAAGTGTACTGAAAGCATTAGCACGCAAGAGCAATGACAACCTGTGCAGCAGTGGCAGAAACAACAGCAGAAACCCCTTAGCCAATACAGAAACGAAAGAAAGGTGCATGTGGCGCAGGTCGCCTGGAGAGCGGCGTGCGGCGGCAACAAGCGGCGGCACAGCAGGCTCAACGGCAGCACCTGCCGCTCAACAGCAGCAAACGAAAGAGACGAATTAAGTGGCAACAGGGGCTGCAGCTGGAGGTGCCACAGGAGCAGGGGGTGGCAGTTGCAAATGCAGGGCTGCTGCTTCTGCCACTCTCTCTCATACCCTCCTTTATCCCCCCTTACCCTCTCTCCCCCCCCCCCCCCCTCAGCAACAATTGCTGCAGGGAGAGAGGAAGAGGGAAGGGAGGGAGGAGCGGCAGGCTCCTCACACCCGCCCCCTCCCCCCAACCCCCCCCCCCACGATGGAAGGGAAGGGCGGAATCACCCACTGCCGGCGCTGGCGGTCGCGTTGGCGCTAGCGCTGGCGGCCGTCGCAGCTGCTGGCGGTGGCGCTGGCGGTCCGCGCAGGCGCTAGCGCTCGCGGCTGGCTGCAGCGTTGGCGCTCGCGGCTGGCCGTGGCGCTGGCGTCCGCGCTGGCGAAGGCGGATCGCGGGGCGACGGGGGGAGCGTGACGGACGAAAAGGGCGCACGGGCGCGACGCGAAACGAAGGGCCTGCAGAAAGCGAAAAACGGGACCCGCGGGGTTCGTCCACGGGGCGATTCGGGGGACCCGCGGGGCGCATTACGGGCGGCACGACGGGTGGGCCCATGATCATTAAAAAAAAAAAAAAAAGGTCCTCAGGAGGGATTCCTGCTCTGTACCATGTCAAGATATGTAGCTAGGGTGTAGCCTTAGGAGCCATGTTGGGGGTGGAGTGTGAGAGAGTTGGCAATGAAAAGAGGACTTCACTATAGAGCTAAGGGTACAAATATGATAAGAAAGGGGGTAATCCACCAAACAGAATGTGATAACTACACTACTGCTATATCTACATGCAGTTACAATAATATAACTCTGACACGAACCAATACCGAGTCGCCCCGCACCAATCGCGACACATCCAAACCATCCACGTCCCGAGGTCCTCGCCTAGCACGGTTTCGACCCTAAAAATGCGTGCTCCTTTATCATTGTTGGGGATTCAGTAATTCTGTATTCGACATCCTTATTATAAAGGCTTCCGCGCACTCTGTCTATTAAAACTCATAACACTTGGTATCAGAGCTACTTTCCTAGCTTCCCCGTTTTTTAGAGTGTAATACCCCTCGGGGGGGGGACAGGGAAGGATGCCGTGGTGACAGGGGCAGCGCAAGAGCCGGCCAGGAGAACGGGTAGTTGCTCCTAGCGGCCATGAATTCCAAGGCGCTCCTGCGGCACCGACGGATCCTTGCCCTCGACGGTCGAGATGGACCGTGGCCTCCCTCCCCCCGGGTGGCGAACAGCTTTTGCTGTCGTCGCAATTAATGCGTGAGTAACAGTAGTCGTTTTCGGCAATTTCGGAGTTAATGCTGTGTAGCGGCTGACGTCGGCAGGCTCGTCGTCGGCGCACGTCCGAAGTTGTCGGAAGCAAGATCGTCGTGCGAGTTGTGTCTACACGTGGTCGACAGCTGCGCGCGACAATTACGGAGCTAGCTGCGGGCGGCAAGTGGCGATGGGTGTCTTCGTCACGTTGCGCACGAGCTAGTGGAAGTCTTCGGCAAGTGGCGCGTCGTCACTGTGCGCGAAGATTTCGGGTAGCAGCACGTGGAAAACGACTGCTTGTCGAGCAGCCAGGCGCAATGTGTGATTTGCGTCGGAAAAACCGACGGCGAGGAGAGGCGGCGTGGCGACTTCCCGAAGAAAGCGGGGGTCTACCGTCGTCCCGCCCGGGTGCGGCAGGTGTTGCTGCAGGAGGGTGCGTCGTGGGCGTTTTTCGGCAGAGCGGCACAGTGTGGGACGGAAGTTGTTCTTCAAACCACCGAAAAGTTCGGAAAAGGCCGCCTACGACCAGACTGTTCCGGCTTGGGTGACTACTGTTTCTGGCACAATCATAATCGGCGAAAATTTCGGAGCAACAGTGGCAGCCGATTCTGCACTTCACGCGGCACAGTTCCCTCCGGCCAGAGGTACCTGTGTTTGCAGACAGCCCAGTACACCACGGAACAACGATTCGGCGCAGCGTTTAGACCCGCGATTTTCGGGGGCTCTACCGGCTACAATAAACGGAGTTGCGACTAATACGGGTCCGGCGAGAGAAACGGGTTCCGACTTCAGGAGGCGAGAAAAACGACCTACAGCGACGACTTTTGCTAAGGCCGAGTCTCACGGCTAAGCGGCGGTAGCAGAAGGAGCTCCCTACCGGCCAAGTCTACCGACGTTTCACATACCTTACACCAGAAAAGCCTCGAAGGCAATTCGTAACTCCTGTTGGCTACTGGATAAAAAGGTGGGGCCCTGTGTTTTAGCCCTGTGCTGGTTAGAAAGGCGTGGGTGGCGCTGGTTCGACGGCAGGGCGTACAAGAAAACAGTTTGTGGTGCGACACTGTTCGGCCCCGACAAAAACGGACCATCGGCGACAGTTACCCTGCCGAAAAAGTTGGGATTGAGGAAATTGTGGCAGCTGTCGGTGTTTCTCCTGATTCAACGGTCTACCCAACGGCGGTGTAGCAGCGGAGATGGAGTTCCCGAAGCTGTGGAGTCTTTAAGTGCGATAGGCATGGTGGGTAGCGAAGCGGCCGGGCGGGCGTTTGATACGATAAACTCACCCCGGCTACGATTGTGTTCGCGCCTTCATTGAACGCCAGAAAAATCGCGGGTCAACACGAAGAATGTCTCATCCGACATAAGCGGACGTTGGGTGAACGGCGGCATGCGAAATTGTCAGGGGGCGAAAGCAAAACAAAAAAGGAGGGAAAGTTGTGGGTGCTGTTTCAAGCTACCTGAGTGATAGGCGGAGCTCGTATACCACTCCACTGCGAATTTCAGAGTTTATTTGGTAGACCTTCGAAAGGGTTTGATATCGTTACATGGAGGCGCGACGAGGGGTGTATTGCCAAGGATGCCTGGGATTTGCTAAGTATTTTCGACAGGTACGAAGATGGGTAAACGTCGGAGTACCAGGGCTAACGGCGGAAATGTCGGGGCTACAAGGCAGAAAATACTTCGGGGCTTGATTCCTCAACCATGATTTTCGGGTGCAACTTCGACGGTGGGAGACGGGTGAACGTCTGCTCGCCAGCTGTTTTAAGCGTTTTCTTGGTGTACTTCGAAGCAGTCTGGGGGAGTTCTGCTGCGAGATCTGCGGCGTTGATGCGCGCTAGGGTCCGTGAAAATCGGCCTCGGAAGACCCATACGTACTGGGTTCCACGCCTAAAAAGCACCTCCTGTTGGTGGGTCGCTTGGGTGGTTAACCGCACGAAAAAAATGGTGATCGGGTGGGCGCGATAGAAACACCGGTTCTTTCGGGGGACAACCTGCAGACGACCAAGACTTTACGTGGTGTGGTTATTTCCGACATTTGCGGGTGGACTCAGCAGTTCCGAGAATGAGTCTTAACGGAGTCCGCGGGGTCGCTAACAATATCCGTGCCGGCGGCGGAGTTGCAGCGGTGCTTGATTAAGCACGCGAAGGCACTCGTCGTCAAATGTGTAGCCGTACAAATCGGAAGCTGCTCGGGGGAACCAGTGACAACAATTAAGAAGTGTTGCTACATAAGGGGGGAGAGGCGACAGCTGTTTTTCGCCACTGCCCGGAAGTTTTCGGCGAGTCACGACAACATCGCCGAGGTAGCTGACGTCATCGACAGTTCAAGTTCAACTTTGAAAAAATATTTGCGAGGTCAGGGGGAAGAGCAGCAGCTGTTTTTCGCCTCTGCCCGGTACTTCTCGGCGAATATCGACAAAAGCCTCGGCGAGTCTGGACAAGACTGCCAGGGGCGCCGACAACTGGAGCACCAACAAGGAGAATTTTGCCACAGCAACAAGACAACTGAAGATACTGCGGCAGCAGGGTGATTCGTGTCAGTAGAGCTACACTGTGAGATCCCCGATCGATCCTAGGGGGGGTTACAGGCGCGTTTGCCTGGGGGGTTATGGGCGCACTGACCCGCTACTGAAACAAGCCCTTTTATCCCAATGGTCTAGTGGTTGGGATTCTGACATGGTATCAGAGCGGTCTCGGGTTCGAATCCCGGTGTATGCATATGTTGGCCGTTGCCACTGTGCTCAGTCCTGGGCCTCCAAGTGTGGGGGGGTGTCAGTAGAGCTACACTGTGAGATCCCCGATCGATCCTAGGGGGGGTTACAGGCGCGTTTGCCTGGGGGGTTATGGGCGCACTGACCCGCTACTGAAACAAGCCCTTTTATCCCAATGGTCTAGTGGTTGGGATTTTGACATGGTATCAGAGCGGTCTCGGGTTCGAATCCCGGTGTATGCATATGTTGGCCGTTGCCACTGTGCTCAGTCCTGGGCCTCCAAGTGTGGGGGGGTGTCAGTAGAGCTACACTGTGAGATCCCCGATCGATCCTAGGGGGGGTTACAGGCGCGTTTGCCTGGGGGGTTATGGGCGCACTGACCCGCTACTGAAACAAGCCCTTTTATCACAATGGTCTAGTGGTTGGGATTCTGACAATTCGGTGCTGCCACGCGGAGATTTCGGGGTGGCAGTCTTTTTCAAAGGGGGGGAGAAAGTGCTCTCGCACTGTACTTGTCAGTATTTTCTGACATCTCGTCTGACAGATCCAGCACGACGGACGCTCGCAATCACATTGACGACATCGACGGATCCTGCTTCATCGACTTTTGACAACGCGTCAGCATTTGCGCCCACGACGTGCTTCATCTTGACCGTCCGACAAAGATCCACCACATCAACGGCTCCCATTCATCAACGACTTTTCAACTCGACATTCGAATTCAACCGCCCGATCGTTATCGGCAGTATCAACGGCTGACATTCCAACTTTTCGAAATTCGCCTGGTCAACTGGTCAGTCACGCGTCAACTCCAAAGTCAACGTGCTTCTGCACCGTCAGATCGGTCTCGACCGAGATCTGCAGTTTTCATGCTACTGCACGACTCGTCTACGGATAAGGGGACCTTATCTAGAAGGTGGGAGAGTGTAAGGAATTTGCCAATTCCTTACTGTAGCCTTGCCTTAACGGGAACAGCCCGAGCACTTCGCGTCAGGTGGCTCGGCCTACATTTCCGCACCGAACCAATACCGAGTCGCCCCGCACTAATCGCGACACATCCAAACCATCCACGTCCCGAGGTCCTCGCCTAGCACGGTTTCGACCCTATAAATGCGTGCTCCTTTATCATTGTTGGGGATTCAGTAATTCTGTATTCGACATCCTTATTATAAAGGCTTCCGCGCACTCTGTCTAGTAAAACTCATAACATATATCAGCTCATTCTGTAACATGTTTTATGAGCTTTAATATGTTTCTACTTCGTTTTTTTCAGCCAGCACTTTTTACAAATCAAAAATTCTGCACCCGCTACTGCCACTGCTGCACACAAGAACCGTTGCATGAGCAAGGGAGACAATCCCCACACACGTCACACTTCACAAAAGTCCAGCTAACCAGCCAATCGCATCAAAAGCTCGTGTTGAGCATCGCGACTCCAGAAACAATCCCGAAGCGCGAATTTCACGACATTCCATCCTCACCATTTCTCAGCCTTCCTAGTCATCCTCGCCTTTTTGCTTTCCACAACACCACATTGTGCACACCACACACACACACCACCACACGAGCACTAAAGTTACAGCTGGCACCCGCACGTGTTAGTCTTACCAGTAGCATGATAGCTGAACTAGAAGTCGCCGTTAGACGGCTTATCATGCGCCGGCTATCCACGCCACCGTGCATTTCCATGCATATCCACCCGACTCCGCTGCTGTTGGTGGATATCAAGCCCGATGCGCCTCTCTGTCATATCAATCATCTATTTCAACCACGCACTCCCTACGCCCCCAGTCATACTCCGCTTGCTGTGGTTCAAATCGTCTCCATTCCGCACACATCCGTTTCACGCCATTGCAGTGTGTGTGTTTTGGTTCTACCCACGACAAACCGCCAAGATTTCTTTCCCCAGCCGTACGAAAAGTGTAAGGCCTTCGCCGCACTGTCAGGAGGGCTCATTGCTCTCTCACGCCCGTTCTCCCTCCCGATCCCGGTCCCTCTCGCGCTGGTATGGCTCCTCGAAGCGCGTCACGCGCTCTCTCTCTCTCGTCCTATTCGCGACTCTCGTTGTCCTCGCCGCCTCTCACCGCCTGGGTCCCCACAAGATAGTGAAACCGCCGCTCGTGCCCGTGCAGATCCTGCGCAAGTGCGGGTGGTCCAGCTTGGGTGACTACACGTCGTCGTTCGTCATGTACCCCCAGTGAGTGCCCTTCCTCGTCTATCCGAAGCATTCGTCGTCTATCCCAAGCCTTCGTCGTCTATCCCAAGCCTTCGTCGTCTATCCCAAGCCTTCGTCGTCTATCCCAAGCCTTCGTCGTCTATCCCAAGCCTTCGTCGTCTATCCCAAGCCTTCGTTGTCTATCCCAAGTAAGTGCCTTTCCCGTTGACTTTTGAGTTGACTCAAAGTCCGCTCGTGCCCGGGCAGACCCTGTGAAAGTGCGGGTGGGCTAGCATGGTTGCACATCATCGTTCGTCATGTGCCCGTAGAGTGCCATTGTAACGAGGTAACTTTCAAGTCGACTCAAAAGTCACCCGGGCAGATCCGTGAAAATGCGGGTAGCCCAGCATGGACGATTACACATCATCGTTCCTCATGTGCCCCGAGTGAGTGGCCGTCCCACGTCGTCCGCACAGTGAGACAGGCGGAGAGTGCTTCCTCCCACTCGTTCCGCACGTCGCACGGCGGAGAGTGCTTCCTCCCACTCGTTCCGCACGTCGCACGGCGGAGAGTGCTTCCTCCCACTCGTTCCGCACGTCGCACGGCGAAGAGTGCTTCCTCCCACTCGTTCCGCACCACCTCGCCCACTCACTCCCACAACCCTCCTCATCAACCTTTACCCTCCGCAACAACCTTTCTTACCATACACCCCCATTGCTCAAATCCCCATCAGCCCCCACCATCCCCGACCCTTCTTTGAGGGGTGTTCCCCTTCCCCCCTTCTTCCCTCTGTAGCCTCTGCTTCTGCTGTCGACCTCCTTGGTTCAGAGAAGGTCGGGGCTGCGTCTGCCTCGAGCGGGCGCCGCAGTGGCAAGGGCAAAGGGGGCAAGGGAGGCGGAGGTGACGGCGGGGGAGGCGGTGGTGGTGGTCGTGGAGGCACTGGCGGTGGCCAGAGCCTGCAGCACTCTCCGTCGCCCTAGGAGCTCCGTGAGTGGTACGCTCAGCATGGAGGGGGGGGGGTGGGCCATAGCTGCACGTACGTCATCCGCACTGGTGACCGCACTGGTCAGACGTGTGGGAGGGCGCACCCCACGCAGCGCTGCTTCTCACGCCTCGACGACGCTTGGCGTACTCAGTTCCCTGACGCCACTGAGCTGACCCGCTGGGCTGATCTGATGAAGCAAAACACTGATATCTTTGCTCTAGACTTTGATGCTATTCTCTCTGCCATGTATGTGATGTCTATTAGTGGAGAGGGTGCCCAGTACCTGCGTGTTCCGCCCGACCCGGGCATTCGACCCGGTGAGGCTACCGCTCTAGGTGCTAGAGTGACTGCTACACCAGGTGCTGGTGAGGCTGCTGCTCTAGGTGCTGGTGCATCTGCCTTGCAGGGTGGTTGACGTGACACGGTCAAATTCGCGCTCCACATGAGCAAGGGCATCGAAACGGGCAAGGGGTGGTTGGTTTCGTCGTTCCTTCCACTCGTTGAAAGGGAATCCCTGGTGTTACTTTTGAGAGTTCTCAAAAGTCCTACCACCCAACAGCATAACTCCCCACAACAACCTCACCCGACACTCTCACTTCCATAACTCTCACTTTTTCCCCCTGCACCCCCCGGCCCTGCCAGCGTGCATCTGCATTGGAGGGTGGTCGACAGCAACACGGTCAAATTCGCGCTGCACATGAGCAAGGGCATCGAAACGGGCAAGGGGTGGTTCGGCGTGGGTTTTTCGAGCAACGGCAAGATGAACGGCGATGCGATCATCGCGGACAGCATGCGCGCCGGCGCGCCCAAGCTACTGACGCTCGTCGGCCACACCAGCAGGAGCGACGCGACTGGGTGGACGCCGACGGGACTGAAGATCACCAAAAACCCCCGGGGTACCACCATCGAGTGAGTACCAGAAAGAACTGGAACCACTGAAGCAACATCGTACTATCGAAGCTGCTGAGTGAGTACCAGAAAGAACTGGAACCACTGAAGCAACATCGTACCATCGAGTGAGTACCATCGAGTGAGTACCATCGAGTGAGTACCATCGAGTGAGTACCATTGAGTGAGTACCATCGAGTGAGTACCATCGAGTGAGTACCATCGAGTGAGTACCATCGAGTGAGTACCATCGAGTGAGTACCATCGAGTGAGTACCATTGAGTGAGTACCATCGAGTGAGTACCATCGAGTGAGTACCATCGAGTGAGTACCATCGAGTGAGTACCATCGAGTGAGTACCATCGAGTGAGTACCATCGACTGAGTACCATCGAGTGAGTACCATCGAGTGAGTACCATCGAGTGAGTACCATCGAGTGAGTACCATCGAGTGAGTACCATCGAGTGAGTACCATCGAGTGAGTACCATCGAGTGAGTACCATCGAGTGAGTACCGTCGAGTGAGTACCGTCGAGTGAGTACCGTCGAGTGAGTACCGTCGAGTGAGTACCGTCGAGTGAGTACCGTCGAGTGAGTACCGTCGAGTGAGTACCGTCGAGTGAGTACCGTCGAGTGAGTACCGTCGAGTGAGTACCGTCGAGTGAGTACCGTCGAGAGAGTACCGTCGAGAGAGTACCGTCGAGTGAGTACCGTCGAGTGAGTACCGTCGAGTGAGTACCGTCGAGTGAGTACCGTCGAGTGAGTACCGTCGAGTGAGTACCGTCGAGTGAGTACCGTCGAGTGAGTACCGTCGAGTGAGTACCGTCGAGTGAGTACCGTCGAGTGAGTACCGTCGAGTGAGTACCGTCGAGTGAGTACCGTCGAGTGAGTACCGTCGAGTGAGTGCCGTCGAGTGAGTGCCGTCGAGTGAGTGCCGTCGAGTGAGTGCCGTCGAGTGAGTGCCGTCGAGTGAGTGCCGTCGAGTGAGTGCCGTCGAGTGAGTGCCGTCGAGTGAGTGCCGTCGAGTGAGTGCCGTCGAGTGAGTGCCGTCGAGTGAGTACCGTCGAGTGAGTACCGTCGAGTGAGTACCGTCGAGTGAGTACCGTCGAGTGAGTACCGTCGAGTGAGTACCGTCGAGTGAGTACCGTCGAGTGAGTACCGTCGAGTGAGTACCGTCGAGTGAGTACCGTCGAGTGAGTACCGTCGAGTGAGTACCGTCGAGTGAGTACCGTCGAGTGAGTACCGTCGAGTGAGTACCGTCGAGTGAGTACCGTCGAGTGAGTACCCGTCGAGTGAGTACCGTCGAGTGAGTACCGTCGAGTGAGTACCGTCGAGTGAGTACCGTCGAGTGAGTACCGTCGAGTGAGTACCGTCGAGTGAGTACCGTCGAGTGAGTACCGTCGAGTGAGTACCGTCGAGTGAGTACCGTCGAGTGAGTACCGTCGAGTGAGTACCGTCGAGTGAGTACCGTCGAGTGAGTACCGTCGAGTGAGTACCGTCGAGTGAGTACCGTCGAGTGAGTACCGTCGAGTGAGTACCGTCGAGTGAGTACCGTCGAGTGAGTACCATCGAGTGAGTACCATCGAGTGAGTACCATCGAGTGAGTACCAGAAAGAACTGGAACCACTGAAGCAACATCGTAGACGCAGATCGAAGCTGCTGACGCTCCACCATCTACCATCCAGCGCGCCCGGGTACCACCATCCACCACCCCGCAGGTTTCTTTTGAGAATTCTCGAAAGCGACTCAGATTTAAGCGATCCAGCGCGCCCAAATACCACCATCCACCACCCCGCGGGTTTTCTCGCAGCACATCGGACGGCACAGGGAGGTGGTTGGCGCTGAAGCCCTCAACTCACAACTACGTCACGTGGGCCTTCGCTAACTCTGCTGTAATCCGGTTACCCTATTTCTTTTGCCCCCGCAGGTTCACTGGCACGACGTCGGACGGCAGGGAGGTGGCGCTGAACCCCTCGGGCAACAACTACATCACGTGGGCCTCCGCTAACTCGTCTGTAACCCGGTTACCCTGCGCAGGTTCACTCGCACCACGTCGGACGGCGAGGAGGTGGCGCTGAACCCCTCGGGCAACAACTACATCACGTGGGGGTTCGGCCAGACCACGTGGGCAAAGACCAAAGGACACGTCTACGCGTACGTGCGAAACCCATTCGAACCCCATGCAAAAGTTGCAAATCTCCGATCCGAATCTTTCCAGATTAAGAGAAAACATGCCAATGCGAGTGAAACGTGCATCCTATCTTGTAAGGTGCTCTTCATATAGGGAACAAGGTGCCTCTTCTTGCCTGCTTCCCTCCCTAAGCAACCTCCCCCCTTCGTCTGCTCAACCTCTCCGGTACTACCCTCACTCACCCGGCTCCTACCCCTCGATCCCCCCCCCGGCCCTCCCCCCCGCCCTCCCCCCACGCCCTTCCCCCACGCGTAGCGGCCACGCGGTGATAATCCTTTCTTGCAACGGATACGCATTCACCTTTTTCCTCGACGCCTCAAATCTTTCTCTCTGTTCCCCCCATCCCCTTCTCCTCGTCTCTCGTTTCCTCCGCCCCCCCACATCACCCCATGCGCAGCGGCCACGCGGTGATCGACCTCTCATGCAATGGCTGCGCGGGCACCTTCGTTCTAGACGTTTCATTTTCTTCTCTTGGCTCCCCGCATCACCGTCTCCCTTTCTTCCCCGTCCCCCCTTCCTCCCTCCCCTTCACGCACAGCGGCCACGCGGTGCTCGACCTCTCATGCAATGGCTGCGCGGGCACATTCCGCAAGGCGCTCTGCAAGGCCTTCTGAACGCACCCGCGCGGCTCACAGAGATTCGTTAGGCCTTCAGGAGAGATAGTACGGACTGCTGGGCAATCTGCGCACCCATGAAGCCGGTCTTGATTTGTCCAAACCATACACTATATGGACCTGTTATGTATGCAGCCTTGTTTGATATTATCCAGTCCAGAGCGTGGAGCAAGCAGATTGATCACTAGCCGTGTCTGTAAAAGCACGAGCTCAATAGGAGATTGTCAGAATGAGGAATGAATGTTCCATTGATGTTGGTTGGGGTACTGTAAGGAATTTTCTCGGCATTCCTTACGGAGCCGACCACATCGCGTACAGCAACAGCCGATTGTTCGCCCGTTACTGCTAACGGAACTTCGCCGACTTCGCGCGCACTGTTTTGCCAAACCTCGCACTGCTGGCATGGCCGTATCGGCCTACGCTTCGGGACTAGCCCGAGCCTCGCTCCAGCGTAGCACTAGCAAGCTCGCACGCACCGCGTTACCGTTTTGCATGTTTCGCGTATAAATGTTCGCTCATGCCTTCGCTCACATTTTGTACTCATTTGACACCTTAGTGCAATTCTCGCTACCTCGATTCATTGCACCCGTAACACTTGGTTATCAGAGCCCCTTTCTTTCGGACCGCGCATCTCCGCACACCAGGAAATCAACTTTTGATTTTTCACTCGAAGGGACTCACGCACCTTAGCCCCTAGGAGCCGCTGTCCTCGCGTTCTCTCGTAAACGCGTGCAGCCACGACTGCGCCTAGACTAAGACGTGCCGACGCCCTTCGTCATGGCTGAAAATATCGACGTCACCACCCTCACGCAGGAGTGTTTGAATGATCTGCTGCGACAGCTGCACGAAAGCTCCGAGGAAATCGCGGCATTAACGGCAGAACGCTCGTCGCTGCAAAATGACCTCATGAGGGCACAACAAGCACAATCTCAAGCACCTGGCACTCCGATTCAACCTGCACCCTCAACATCACAACACGGGAGTGTGGGGCAACCCGTGAGCGCGGCCAGTGATGGCGTCGTCCGCCCCGACGGAGACGACGACCACGGCACGACACACCCCAGAGCGACGCATGCGGCCCCAAGTCAGCCTCGCGTCACGATTTCGGCACCAACCCACGATTCGGGACTGCCGTCACCGATGCCGCTGAAGCCGCAGCGCCCGCCATGCTTTGACCCGAGTCAACGGGGTGGTCCTACCGTTCAGGTGTGGTTGTTCACAATGAATGTCTTCTTCGACGTCAACTACGTCTCGGAGGACTCGGCGAAGATTCGATACGCCGTGTCGTTGCTGCGAGGACCCGCCATGGACTGGTGGCGCGTCATCGTCACGAAGCCGACCGACTACGCGACACTACCGACACGGGAAGGACAAACCGGACCCTGGGCGCCGTCGTATTTCGTGGAGGTGCCCCAGTATCGCACGTGGGACGTGTGGTGCGCAGGTCTGCGCGCTCGATTTGAGCCAATCGCGGCCTCGATCTCGGCGCGACAGAAGCTCCGCACTTGGCGCCAACTCGGTTCCGTCCAGGATTACACGAGCGGATTTCTGGCGCTATGCGAGCAGGTGGGCTACATGCATGAGAGCGAACGCATCGACCGCTACATCGGCGGCCTGAAGCAGGACATCGCTCAGGAAATCCAGCTTCGCGGCGTCACTGAGTTTCAGGAAATTCTCGCTATGGCGGAGAAGCTCGACTTCTTTCGCCGACCGAGACCGGGGTCCTACGGAAACAACAACTGGGGACATCGGCCTCGTGGGACGAACGAAAGCGCCACGATACGCACCGTCGCCGCAAATGCCGCTGCCGCACCGTTCAAAGGGCGCTGCTTTGCGTGCAATCGGCCGGGACATCGCAAGAGCGAATGCCCGGAAAACGCTAAGGGAAAGGGGGAAGCTGAGCAGCAGACACAGACCAAGCAGCAGGGAAACGCTGGAAGTCAGTAGCAGACGGGCCCTCTACTCACAGGTCACGCCGCTCGCCCGACCCAACCGACCCTCACCGAGTGATTGTGCCGGTTCACGCAATCGACCACACCCGGCCGAATAAGGAGGGTACCACGGTAGACAGCCCTATACTGCTCAGTGGGAAAATTGGGACGGACTTAGTTAAAATCTTCGTAGACGGGGGAGCCAGCCACAGCCTCATTAACACTGCTACAGCACGGAAACTGCGACTGCCACTGGACAGATGCTTACCTGAGATCGACGCACGACTGGTAGACGGCACGCCGCTGGCAATACGGGAACGCGTAGACCGAGTTCGGATTCGATGCGGGGGTAACTTCACGTTTAGTCAGGAAATGCTCGCAACGACCCTCGACGGAACCGACATTTTACTCGGGCGTGATTGGCTGCGACGACACAATCCGCGAATTGACTGGACGACGGGCGACTGCACCGTGCGAGTAAACGGTAACAACATCGCCTTACCTCGCTGGGGCTCGCCTGAGTCTTCGTCGGTGCGTGTCAATGCGATCACGATGAAACGCGCTGTTGCGGCCGGAGCTGACGTGTACGCGGTTGACATTCGGGAAGCCGAGGCAGCAGACAAGGGAGGGGATTTACAGAAACTGCTGACCGACGTACCGAGTGATCTGGCAGCACTGTTAACACGATACAGTGACATTTTCCCGGATAACTTACCGACGGGACTACCACCTTAGCGACCGCACGATCACAGGATAGAACTGGAACTGGGGGCACAGCCAACAGTACAGCGACAGTTCAGACTGACCCAACCCGAACTAGACGAACTAAGGAAGCAGCTCGATTACCTGCTCGAGAAAGAATTCATTCGCCCTAGCTCGTCGCCCTTCGCCGCACCAATACTGTTCACACCGAAAAAAGACGGGGGTTTTCGCATGTGCATCGACTACAGGGCACTGAACAGGGTTACCATCAAATCCCGTTACCCCATCCCACGAGCCGACGAACTGATCGACCAACTGCGCACAGCCCGGGTTTTCTCGAAAATCGACCTCCGAGGAGGCTACCACCAAATCCGCGTCAACCCACCCGACTGCCCTAAAACCGCATTCCGAACACGCTACGGATCCTTCGAATACACCGTCATGCCATTCGGACTGACCAACGCCCCCGCCACTTTCCAAATGACCATGAACGAAGCATTCCGCCCACTTTTAGATAAGTGCGTCATCGTTTATCTGGACGACATACTGATTTACAGCCCTGACAGAGCACAGCACTTACAAGACATCGAAGCAGCTTTTAAAATCCTGAGTGAGAACCGCCTACTGACCAAAGCATCTAAGTGTGAGTTTTCACAGGACCGCCTGGAGTTTTTGGGACATGTTATTTCAGCTGCAGGAGTGGAAATAGACCCGAAGAAAATTGCGACGATTCAGGCTTGGCACGCGCCGACCAACTTGACCGAGTTGCAGAGTTTCCTGGGGTTCGTCAACTACGTGCGCCGGTTCGTCCCCGACATGGCAAAGCTGACTGCCCCGTTGACCGACCTGCTGAGGAAGGGGGTTGAGTACACGTGGGGGGAGAAAGAGCAAGCTGCCTTCTCGGCCCTCAAAAATATTTTGTGCTCCCCGCCCGTCCTTCACATTGCAGATCCCCACCGTCCGTTCGAGCTCGTCACCAACGCAAGTGACATCGCTGTGGGAGCAGTACTGTTGCAGGACTTCGGGAACGGCCTCCAGCCAATCGCGTACGAGTCCCGCAAACTACACCCGCCCGAACGTAACTACCCGATACACGACCGCGAGATGCTAGCGATCGTGCACGCGTTCAAAGTTTGGCGATGTTACCTGACTGGCGCCGACGTGACAGTTCGGACAGACCACCGCTCGCTACAGTACCTTCGCGCCCAACCGAATCTCAACCCACGACAGATTCGCTGGTTGGACTATCTCGAGTCCAATTTTCACTACACCGTTACGTACAAAAAAGGCGCATCCAATATCGCCGACGCTCTCACCCGCCCCACCGCCCAACTCCACGCCATCCTACTCGCCCAGACCAACCCACTTTTAACTGGCCTATTCACCCACGGATACCGCACCGACCCATTTTTCACGACCGGAAATTCACAGCAACTGGCAGAAGCAAAAGGAGTCTATTACGTAAAAACAGGCACCAACCGCATTTGGGTACCCGCGTACTCACTACTGAGGGAGCTGCTACTGCAGGAGGCACACGACGGGATTACCTCGGGACATTTTGGGGTAGAAAAAACACGACAGCAACTGCAGCGGTACTATTACTGGCCGGAGCTGTTGACCGACGTACAGCAGCACGTGGGCTCGTGTCCTACGTGTCAGGTGATGAAGAGTTCAAGGAAGCGGAAGGCGGGTCAATTGCAGCCGATCCCACCGCCC